AGTCTGTTAAATGGTTGTCCACCTGGACCCGCCATTTTCGATCAACAAGTAAATTCATGATCAATTGTTGCAGCGAGCAATCAATACCGCATACCCTCAGCCTGTCGAGGAGCGCTGTATGATTTACCTTGTCAAATTCGTGTTATCTGGCTCTGATGAGAACTACAAGGCGTAAAATTTTCAGCGAAATCTCTGCAACAACGCCAAAACAAAAAACGTAGGAGCTTCGAAGAGCAGCTTGCAACCGCCACAAAAACTGCTTCCAAATGGATCTTCGCCAAAGTGAAGCTGCGCCTGAGCCCTGCAGGCAATGTTTCAGTGTTGGAAGGCTCAGATGGACAGCCCCTAACCTCGAGCACAGATCGTGCGTTCGCACTGGCGGCACACCGCCTCCGTATTCGCAAGTGACCAGGTGTCTGCAGCGAGTTCGACGAGTACCGCTCCAGTTCAACTAGACAGCCTTGACTGCAGCATTGTAGATATGCGCAAGCTTCTAGCAAGTCTTGACTGGACGAAGCCTGCTGCGCCATATGGAATCCACCCACTGATTCTCAAGTCCCTATCGGACATCATCTCGTCTTCTGTAAACAAGCTGTTCAACAGGTCACTATCCACTGGAATATTACCGAGCGACTGGAAATGCTCAGTCGTAAAGCCAATACCAAAAGGTGGTAACCCAAGTAAAGTGGATAACTACCGGCCGATCTTTCTGACCACTGTTTTGGCAAAGACGCTCGAGAAGATCGTAAATAAGAGCCATCTGCAGCTTCTCGAGTCCAAAAGCCTCTTGACGCGCCGCACAGTAATGACACGAGCCATATTTTACAGCGGTCAGGAAATTAAGCATGGCGCTTGCAGCATTGCTTATCAGTTAAAGTAGTTGTTTCGCAATTGGTTCGTACTAGGTTCCAATCTGGCGAAATTCAATTGAGAGGCGTACCACTGATAAGTAGCAAGATGACAAAAGCCCATAGGTGTTTTGAAAGAGGTGGTAACTACGGACAATCAAGCAAAGTAGTAAGGAATCTCCATACATCAATTCTGTCGGCAATATTTCTCTATAAGTAGACTCTGTTCGAATTTTAAGAATGTCGGTCTGATTGGAGTAATCATCACTAGAATAATTCCCAGGTTTGGAAAATATTGTTGAGATGCTGGGCCCACATTTTTCCAAACAGTAACTAGAAGAAATTGTGAAACCCCTCGGTGGACTTATTTAATTTTCTTTGCAGAATTCCTCTTGCTAGAAGAGGACGAAACCAACTCATGCTTACAGTCCACAGATGCTTTTTGATTAAACAGCATTGCTAGATGACAGCTGATTTATTCCTGATGTATTCGTCGACCTGTTTCAAGTGGCTCACAATACCAAACTGAAGGGCCACCATCTCTACTAGGCTAAGCATTACAGCCGACTTGATTGATTGACGAAGGTTATTCGCCTTCAGATTTACATGAGCTGAAATGCTCCTCCTTCTCACAATAATTATGCCTCTACATTAAGGTGACTTAACAAACCATGTGACGTCACGCTATCAAATTTGCATTATTTGACACAGTCTATTCCATCTAAAAACGAAATAGCGCAAAACATTGTGCGCAAGAGTCATTTCTCTAACGTAGCGATGAGAAGTCTAGTATAGGTATACATGTGAAAACTTAATGAGGCATAAAATACTAATTTCTCCTTTTCATGTTGTTGCAAAACTATTTCGTCTTCCTCACACCATTCATCCTGAAGGACTTATCAAACTTTCGATTTTTTACCCATCATAGATTAATGTTTCTCATGTATTACCATCTGGTAAGGGACAGTGTACCTGTTAAGGTTATGGGTCCAGTTTGTTGACTAGAAGTTTGCTGGTTAGGACCGAACATTGATTGGTATTAGCCGTTGTTTTAAAACAGCTGACGTGTGCCTGCGTTAACGTGCCATGATTCTACGTGCACACATTGAACCCCTGTGTCAATTTGACCAACCGACCAGTTTTTGAACAGTACAGGATATCGAAAAGCCGATGTAAACCGAATGGAGATAAGGAATTATCCAAATAGTAAGGACTATCTTTTTACTCTTGATACAATTTACAACCCGTCGGTCATCCCAAAGAAAGCTCAATCCGTATGTTATCGTCAAACTGGCGAATGTACTAATAACGCTAAATGAAACCAGGTATATACATATCGTTGGTGTAATTTCTGCTGTCTCATCTTCTTGATGATTGTAAAGCATTGTACGACTCAGGGATGATTGACATGGGTTAATGACCGGGACTTACCCATGGAATGCAAAGTCTTTTGTTCCGTTCCAGCGCCAAGTACTGTAGCACCGGTCTATTGCTTCTCGTAATCTGGTTTCCAGTGCGAGTGTCCCTTGACCACCGTGTGATGCAAATGACGATTGTGTGGTTGGGGCCCCACCGCGGCAGTAGCCCTTTACCGAGCAGACCTGTTCGTCCCATCGGGTTCAGAGGAGCTCCGGTCGCTGGATCCAGCCGATATCGACCCAGTAGACTTTGTCGCCGTATTTTGTTCTTTGTATCATACTGGTTGAAAGCGATGTTACGCAGCTCTTCGCTGTGTTTAAAAGTAAAATCGACGTTCCCGTGCGTAAAACTGTTGCGGATGAGTGTACGCGGGTTCACATGGACGACAAACCAGTTGAATGGACATAACAGTAAAGAAATGAAGAAGAAAGATTATCTAACAAGGTCAGTGATCCGACGCTGCATGCATACCTGGGATGCAGCTATCGATCCATCCATGATAGAGCGACAGAGAAGTGGCATGCTTCAGCCAGATGACGCGCGGATGGCATTCGTGCCGCAGTACAATCGCCAAAGCGGGAAGGCACTAAGCTTACCTTGAACGACGGATATTCCAAAGTGAGATCTCAAATATATTTGGACAGAAAACATTGGCTAACAACGCAAACTACTGGGTTCCAGATGTTCCCTGATTCACCAGATCGGCAAGCGGTCTAGGTCGAAATATTAACTGCTAGAAGATGACGAAACAAAAAACGTACTCAATCATCAGGCACTCTGTTCCACATTAACCTTAGTGGAGAAATTTGAATTCGGAGCATTTACCAATGAGATTAGTTATATCAAATTCGGCTAGGCATATCCCTAAATTATAAAGTAATATTCAGGTAAATAAACTCCTTCCTTGACAGACGATTTCGTTTAGGATCTTCTACTGTCAACTAGTGTAATACAGACTGGTTAGCATTAGATGTTTCTAATAACACTCAGTAGTTACCGCACAAATGTTTTCCGTTAGACCGCGTATTTTCCAATCATTTAACTTGTCTGATATGCAAAGCGAATCATGCGATTCATATGGATAAAATGCTAATGATTGAAATGGGCAATCCACCTTGTTTTCTGAATTCTAAGTTAAATAGCAGCACTGCAGTGTTGGTGGAGGTTTCTTGCGCTCCGTTGTGCAAAACACTGATTTTAAAGCTTCCAGTAAATTCAAAGATTTTTCCCCATATTATCTACAGTTAGGTATTGCAAAGCCGCGGGCCACTGGATCAGGTGCTCATGATGTATCAAGGTCAACGGTTTATTTAGTTTCAAGGACTTACGTATGGGGATTGCACTGCAACTTTCCAAACCAACTCAATAGCAGTACATTCGAGAACGATATATTTCGATGCAGTCGCAAGCGATGTGTTCGCTCAGATCATCATCAATAAAACCAACCTGCGTAATCGATACTCTGTACAAGCGACGTCAACCAAGTTTGCACGGCCCAGTATTTAGTGGTAACTCACTAAATTAAACCAATAGATACTCTGCTTAATAATGATACTTATTGCTTCATCTGCACAGAGTTCAGATACACTGAAAGTCCCGTTTAATGCTTTTCAAAAGGCGTAGTGAACGCTTCATGTGAGGTAACTGTAACAACCGTTTAAAATTTTGACATCCTGAAATGTTAATACCATCGCCTGAAGTGAAATGTAAACCTAGATTGTAGTGTCCATTTTCACGAATTTGGTGGAAAAGTGAGCAGAAATCTGCTGCGATACGGTACATGCTTGAAGCTTGTACATAACGATTACACGCCTGCCATTCGGAATGGCATTGTTTACCTGTTGCTGAAGGTTGCGGATCAAGCCTTTTGTCGTTGCATTTTGACTCATGATGTAAAGTTGTCTAGCATTGCGTGAACAGCTATAAACGCTCACTCCTAAAAAGCATGTATCACCGTAGCAGGTTGCTAACCAACATGTGCTACTAATGACTTTTAAATGCCAATTTTACTGACCACTAAGCTGCTTTACGCTTCTAGTTCTATTCTTATTCGTACTACAGACATAGATAGGCGATCTAAGTGATCGGGTTGAAAAAATCTCCTTTCATGCTATATCAAGACCTTCACTGTCTGTTCTCGATTTTAAACCCTGACATTTTCTCAGTTAACTGCATCCATAACGCTTTCAAATTCCTTCGAAGGAAATCGTGTTTCTCCGTAGATCTCATAAGGTGGTCCTTAAGCATTTCAAGTTGCACCTATCGATTACAAGCGCCCCTGAATGCTACTTACTGTTTATCGAGTGACTACCCCCAACTCAGCCAATAGCATCCCACTCAGTGTACTCCTCCGTTATACACTCGGCTGATATGGGATTGGTCGCTCAACGGACAGTACATATTTCAGTAGCGTTAGCATTCGTTGGATGCAATTTAGTATCTTTAAGAAAAATCTTGAGAGATCCATGGGAGAATATTATTTGCCTAATGGGAAATTTCAAAACGCTCTGCATGCAGTTTGCCGAGAAAAGGCATGGTTAATTTAGTGACCTCAAACCGCTGGAGTTGCGACAAAATAAAACAACTTTGCGGGCAAGCAAAGCGCCAGACGAGCCAACCTAGCTCCAGAACGACCGTTGCAGGGTTTATGAATGGTGAACCTGGAATTGCCCCAAATTTAACCTAATGTCAAATGATCCATCTAGGACACAAAAGTTTACACCAGTAAGCAGGGGGATTAGGATATTGATGCAATCTTCTAGCAAACTAAAGTAGCATAAAATAGTGCAGCTATATACATGGTGTCCTACAATAAGCCCTCGGTAACTTTGACCTATCCACTTTGTTCATTAATTTTCCTGCATACACAAGCGCTCATGTAGTAGAAGCGATTCAGGCATACACGACAGAAACTGGATCTCACTGGCTTGCAGATTTTACAACATAGCGACACCAAAGACGTCAAAGGGATATAAAACATCCCCTAAGAATAGCGAAAAAGTATTCTAGGCTTTTGCATTGGGTGGTATCGGAGTTCGCGTGGTAAAGTTATCATCATTCACCGGATTTAAAGTAACCATAATCATCCGTGCTACCAGATACTACAGCTCAGCCATAACATCAGACTGAGAGGCCGTTGTCCCAAAATTCCAGAGCAAACGTTCGGATAAAATGTTGACTTAATTTCGCCTAGTTACGTGTTTGACATATATAGAAATCCCCCAGAACCGCTTATGTAAACCCCAACCCTCACTTTGTAAAGGATGGTATCGATAACGTGCTGACCGCATTATGTTACACCATATAGCATACCGTAACATGCATTTAAAAACAAGAGTGCATCTACCCGTAGCAGTTTCTCTGGAAAAATAAGTGGCAGAGATATTGCAAATCTCATAAAACTCCATGCGAACTAATCTGGCTGACAATCGGTGGCTCGACAAGTCCACTGTTTCCTGGTACGTCTCGCCAGAGAACATGGAAGGCATGTTACGCTTCCGCTTTTTATCCGCAATATACCTTCGTCTATGAGCAGTAGTATAAAGCTCAACAGTTATTCGATTTTTCTATTCCTATCACTAGTGTTCAGTATTAAGTAGGGAAAACTGGTAGCATTAGGGCACTCAAATCCCTACCTACCTATGTCTTTATTGCTGAGGGTTTCGGTTTCAATAATGTAAAGCTATGCCGACTGGATTAATTAACAGTTATAATATATGGACTAAAAATTGTTGAGGGACACTAATAAATGGGATTTACTCACTTGTCTTGATTAGTGTACCAATTGTTATACGCAGTTATAATTATGTTATGTTTGTCCAGTTCACCCGTGTATCGAAATACTTATACCCTGAAACCAAGCCGAGTAAATCTAATCATGTTTTCATATCTGTGGGCTGGATACCATATAAGGGAGTAGATTAGGGTAAGCAACTGAGTCATGCACATCCCACTTAAAGCAAAACAATGACAGATATGATATTCCAGGATTTCGCTGCTCGAATCATCTAACTCATTCAGTTTCATTACACAGACAAAACGGCTTATAATGCAATGAGTTGATTAGCAGGGTAAATTTAGTAACTCAGTGAATAGTGCAGGACATTATATCACATCTAGTAACAGTCGCGAGTGACCTTGCCGTCTCCCCTAGCCCAGTGGTCTAAACCATAAACAAGGAACAGTCAAGTTGCGGGTTCGAGCTCTACAAGGGTCAGATGGAACGCACACTGCTGCCGATTTTCCAAAGGATGAAACGGCAGCACAGTATATTTCCGGTCGTGTGTTGGCTGCTGAGTGCGTCTAGATGTAACGGATGTCTACCTAAAGCATTCAATGTCCCCTGCTATTTCTTTGTATTCAGTACGCGGACCAAACTGCCATGAGTTATTTGGCGGCTGAATTTTGGTAACTTCATCGATTTCTGAGAGTCTACCCTCTCCTCTGCTTGGCAGTAAGATGCAACTCAGTAGATAGTGAGCAGTGTTATATTATCCATGTTAACTTATTCACGACGGTCGTTGCCGTCCCGCGTATCTCAGTGGTCGTAAATACGGACTGGCAATAGTTAGGTTGTGGGTTCGAGTCATACTTGGGTCAGATCGTATGTGAATTGCTGGCGATTTCCGAAATGAGGATACAGGCATACATTGCTTTTCCGGGTAGGTGCTGGCTGTCTGAGTGAGTCTAGTTGTGACGAACTTCTTCCTGTATCATTACAAATGGCTGCTTACCATTTAACATTACCCAAATTGCCTTATCACCCATGCAGAAGTGCGTGACAGCTTTCGTCACCGCCCCCCTGATGACGCATGTAACAAGGTTTTCCTTCAGCTCTTTCATTACTGTTGACTCAATTAGAGAAAACTTGTTCACCAAAGTTGAGGGAAGTTAAATCGGATGTTTTTATTACCGGCCTTGTGGTTGAGATGCATCATGCAAATGCTACTGAGACCTTGGCGTCAATCGTAAACCACTAGCGCCTAGTCACAACCAAGCTCAAGCTATCTCCATCTGATGAGTCCGAACAAGGACCGAACCAGTCATTGGTGTTGGTGTTGGGAAGAGCAACGCAGAAACAACTCCAAGGATGGAAGATAATTTGGACAACCGAATCTAATCGTCTTTGGTGGAATAATTATTCAAAATGCTGCGTGGCACCTACACTACACACTTTGGATGAATTCCCAAATGAACAATGAACAATGATTTATAACGGGTAAAAAAGCAGGTGCTTGACATGTCCCGTAGAGTGTTTAGCGTGACAAAAAACTAATAGAGAAGGGATAATGGAGTCGTCAGTTCGGGTGCTTACAGATGTAACTACACTGTCGTATAAAGGGAGTTTGAAAAGAGAATGTACGCACACAAAGCAATAGAGGAGTGGTTATTGATAGCAACTGTTAGCTACGACACAAGATGTTCTCAGACACAATTGTCTTCAATGTACATTACTTGTTCCGTTTTGGATAGATTGACCATGCTTTTGCGATCTTGCCGCAATTAAACTGCTTTTTACGGTAACTCCGGAACGAAATCCATCCTTAAATTAAACGTACCTGGAAATTATTCCTCCACTAGATGCCTCAAGACATATCCGGTCATTTGAGCAGATGCTCAGTTCGTGTGTAGATACAGTCTATTATAAATGGCTATTGACCTCCCTTTGCTGAAGCATTAATTGCGTTAATGATCGCGATGGTACAGCCTCATTGCAACTAGGCAGGGATATGGGAAACATTTTCTTGTGTTAGAGACCTATTATAACCTGGTTAGGTGGGTTAATTCACAAGGTAGCGGATCTGGAAGGTGAACTCAAACTGGCGATTTTCTAGATCTACTAAAACATCTCTACTTGGACGGTTTAATTAAGAAACCACTTGTTGAGTGCTACGGCGACGAAAAGCAGAAGCCATTCTTGCCTATTCTAAGTGATGGAGGTGAGCGATAACGTAATTCAAGACTGACCGTAGTCCCAAAAGCAATCATACATATCCTCAAGCACGGATGGGTCCACACCCGCAATATTATTTGTCGTACGAACGCCTAGAGAGCCTTGACAAACGTGACCCATTAAGACGGTCGCTGATCGACCTGGAACGGCGATAACTGCACGTTAACGAGCCCAAATCGTATTAAGGTCAAATTTACCTAACAAAGTGATACAAGGACGAAACTGATGGCGAATTGCAATATAGAAGTAAAACGACCTGTGTATCCTTAATAAATCAGGATGTAATCTAGGGCACTCTGAGTGGATTCATTGCCAAACGCGTAATCTATTACTACTATACGCTAGCAGGCTACCTAATGAGTAAAGTCATACTCTTAAGAGCCAAAAAACACGATTACTGGCAGTCTAAGTCGTCAGTTCACCTTACACTTTTTGAACTTATTACGTTTGACATCGCTGTGTCACAAATTACTAAATGATTTCAAGTAGTTTTAACGTGAAATAGTAAGGTTGAGAAGCGGTTATCTGAATTCTTGATGAGATTATGGTAAATGGTGTTCATAATTTAACGTAGACAGTAACAGTTATCGATATGCCATGGTTTCACTTCCAAATAATTATCGTGTTTTGACCCAATCTGAAACAAGCCCTCACTCGTGGACTAAGCTTCGAATGGAAGTATGGACGCCGCCAAAGTTGATCAACCGATGGGTGCCTGCAGTTTTTTATCATGAGGCTCCTATTTGTTATCCAATGCTGTGTTAATTAAAATTGTTGCTCATTCTGAAGGATGCACCGACGTAAGCGTTAGTTTTTGTGGAAGTCCAAAGTAAAGTGTTTATGGTCAAACAGGACATAAAGCCTCACATTTCTATTCATATCCTTAAGAAGGAGTTATGATGGGATTGTGTAAGCAGAAGAACGATACGGATTTGCAAGGCAAAGCAGGCGACTGACTTGTTGCGAGCGAACAGAGCAGTTGATTGAACGACTACGCATATTTCGCCTGAGAGCTGATTGGTTCGTATTTAGCTACCCTGCAGCGGGTTTGTTTAACTGATTCAAAGCATGAATCTCATGAATGCAGCAGCGTCATTAGTTACGGAAATGACCCAGTCATCTACATCGAGGTTCCTACACACTTGTTATGCTGTCATTTTGCTGGTCTTGCTTGGTCGAACAAACTGTTTGTCCCTGAAGGACTGAGTTTTGCCACAGAGTTAGATGCATTTATGTTTAACCCGATGGTGTTTTGTCACATGCCCTCGGCATACTACGTTGGGTGAACAGCGCTCACCTTTTGATCCTAGTAGCCTTTTTCTCAAGCAAGATGATCCATGCATTAAGCTATAGCGTAATGTTAGCTGACAAGCATGTACATCGATTGCGAGGCCATGCCAACTTACTTTTCGCCGTCGTGTGCGTCCTCCGAAGGGAATAACAACACTTCTTCACATGCATCGTATGCAAAATAATCGGGGTATTCTGTCTGAAATAGCATTTGCAATGAAAAACAGTAAGCGTGGCAACATTAAGTAACTATGTGTCACGGCAATAATTAACTGAATGGTAGCTTCGATTACGTGTTTCGTAGTGGGCGACTGATTCGGTACTCACAAACTGAACCAGCTTGTCGCGGGAAACAGGAAGAAAATTGGCCCAATCAGTGATTAGCCTACGTCAGACAGTGGTAAACAGGGCAAACTCAGTAAGCTCCTTGTGAATCTACTATGACAATCCAGGTGATAAATCAAACTTGCCTTGGCTATTGCGATGCATTAACTGGCAAAAATGTGAGAAGAACTAAACGTAATGACATCATTTATTTGATGAGTTCTCTCAATGTCTGGAAGCTCGTAGCGTAGCTGCTGCGATCAAATATCCCCATGCAACAAGGTTAAAGCCAGTCAAAACACATTCTTATTCAATGTGCTTATCTAAAAAAGCGCATAAACGGACGTTAAATATATTCCATGCTAATACCAAGTACAACCTGAAATTTATTTATCCATATGAATAGAGTAATCGCTTTTGAATAACATGGATCACCTGAATCGCATGACGTTCATTGGATGTTACAAGGTAATGACATAATCAACAGGTGAATGGAACTGGAATAGAGCACTGTCCCATTTTTCTAAGCAGAATACGATAATGCGCAGAAGCAACAGCTTGATAGCGTGAATGGTGGAACTTCGGCTTATTTATGGTACTTGGAACAGGTTACCAACGGTATAGTTTATCAAAGACCATTGTATCGATGCGTGAAATCCGCTGAGGTAGTGCCGCTGTCTAGCAAACAAAGTTTCCTAGGCCTTAAGCAGGTTCAAATCATACATCGAAAAATCTGCACGTTAAAAATGCCTTTCTGAATTAAGCCATGTAACTTGGTTATTCGCTGGTTCATTGCGGAAATGCAGGGTGGAGTTCCTCTTACTGAGCCGTAAAATAATGTGGTCGGAATAAACCATAATACAAAGAGAATATAATTGGGACCGAAATGTGCAAAACTAAACTGAGCAGAATGAAAGGTGAAGGGTAGATGCAAGAAACTGAACGCAGGAAAGCCACAGAATGTGCACATGCTTCATGGATGGTACTAGTTACAACCATTGTTTTGGATCAACCCGAGGCTGCCTTCCACGAAAATGACAAGCAGTAGTCTAACCAAGTCTCTCGGTGAATTTCTTCGCGTCTCTATACCACACTATATTTTTACAGTGAATTCGGTATTATACCTAGTATTTAAGTAACCAAAGATGCATCTAACATTATGCCGGAGAAGAAAACTCATTTTATTACATTATGAACACTTCTAAACATACTTGTTAAATTTTTACTGGTTGTCTGAATGCGGGGAACACATTTACGTTGTCCACATGGTATACGTGTTTGCCGTCAACTTACTGTCCACGCCATCTTCTCAGGTGGTACATTCATACGCATTCCTGGATATTTCTCAAAATTGAATGGGGCAAATCGCCATAGGCGATGTTCCGAGACCAGTCGTTCGATTACTCTGCCCGTTCGTACATCTGTAACCATTGGGGCTTTGAACGCATCCGCATTTGGATCGCCTGTATCTTCGGACCCGCTGGACTCTTCTTCCGAACCAGGGACCGGTGCTGCCAGCAGTACGGGTGATTCCCTGACATTAGACATATGGAATGTGTTGGTAGGGAAACCACACAGGCAAGTTTAAGCTGGTTTTAAATACAGTGAATCGTATTATGATTAAAGTTTCAGGTGCTCGTTTGGTCACATGTTGAAGGTATTCACAACATAGTTACTTAACCGTTGAGGAAAGAAAACTGCAGCTGTGCTAGTCTATATGCGCAGATAACGAACTGAGTGCAGGGTTGCCGGTAATTTTACTTTGAGTAAAAATGCGGTTCTGGAGGTGCGTGAAACTACTTGTAGACATAGATAGGTTTGAAGCAAATGGAATGCTGCATGCCTAGCTGACAAGTTTTATATCCAGACCAATTTTATGGGTGTTTGTTGCAGGCTGCCATCCGTAAGGTTTTGCACCAATTATTTATTTGATTGAAAGGGACAAATTAATTATGGATTATGTAATTTTCTACTAACCGTAAGAACAAATTACATCTTTGCGTCATCCACACCCTCAAGCTTTGTCCTGATTGGTTGGGAGGAGTTACGGGATAAATAACAAGCCATCACCTAGTTGCTACATGTTCGCAGTGAGTTGATTTATTCTATAAATCCTCTGATTAGATATCTCCATTTTTGCGTTTAATAGACAAAGAACAATTTTACCTGAATGACGCATGGGTCCACTATAATCTGTCTGGGATCAGCTTTGAGGTCTGAGTCCGTACCCGGCTTGACCAGCAAGCAGCTAGCTTAAAAACTGAAAGATAACAATTGCTGGATTGCTTGCGCTTCAAAACGCAAAGACAACCTGTTATAGTGGAAATTCTTATCACCAGCCGTGGCATGGAAGTCGGCTTTCTCCAAAATGGATTGATATGCTGAGTGATGATGAAGACCCAAACTTTTCTGTTCACCAGATTGACTTGTTTAGTTATGACAAGTGCTTGATAAAGGATGCTGTAATGGTTGAGCTATCAACTATAGCGCCTAGATGAAAGTGACTTCCTTATCAATATTATCGTTTCAGGGTGAAGCTAGTATCTCTTCTTTACAGCTTGCCGAGGAGGGAGTTGTTTGGTCTGCTAGATGTCGCGTGACAAAGGTTCGAGGTGGGCGGAAGTTGACTTCGCAGCGGGAACTGAAGCCAATGACCCCCAAACTGGGTGAGACCGTTCCGTCCAGCATTCCAAGCCAGAGTCCACGTGACTCATCTTGTGCATAGCCCGGGACTTTACTCATTATGACTCTCAGTCCACACCAGTGGCTCGTCCGCTACAGTCTCCTAGGCGGACCACCTGTTCAAATTGGGTTTGGTGCTGCGTTTTCTGCTGGGTAATAGCTGCTTATGACCTGTGGAAGCAAAAGCAATAAGGAAGCCGTCTCGCTGATGCCGCCTTGTGTTTTGCGCGATGTGCAGCTTTTTTGTAACAGTATGTTGTTGACAAGATGTAATCGCTTTGACACTGACTGTTTGTGGCATTAATATTTTGCGATGGGTACCCCTTCTCTCCTTTATTATTCTTCGTGTCGTATGTCCTGATGTTTGTATGGCAGCAAAGTGTCAGTTCAAATGTTTGATGTGCTACTGCTGCCTATGGTGGTAAATCGACTGAAGTGTCAACTGAAGTAGCCTAGGTTCGTTAAGTTGAACTGTGTTTGGGTAGAAGATAATACGAACTCAGCTGGCCTGTTTAGTCTGGACTTTAGTGCTTGGTTTATAAAGTTCATTATTTCAGGTGGACTAATAATTTTCTGAGTTTTACATTGTTTGAGGACATTAAGATACATTATATTCCACAATTTCTGCTTTATCCTAGTTAACAATTTTGGAGGTTGGTATGTCTAATTTCGTTGGCGGTATTGTAGGCTTCGTTCTTAGTGGTTCATTGGTAATCTTATCATTTATAACGCCTTTTGGTAGTCACAATGTTGATCATTATTTTTGCTTCCGGTCTGCTTGCAGCGACAACGGACGTTTATGTTATAAGTATTTTGGCGGTAATGCATAAACCCGGATGCCATGGTGTAGTGTTCGCCACACAAATATTCCCGAGAGGAACTACTCTAGCCAAGATAATAATCAGCAAATTGGGCAAATCCACACTGCTTGCCTGTATGTGAGTTCTCGTGCTTGGGTGTCTGGCGTTCGGTTATCGACTGTACTCTTGGTTTTACAGCGCTGTTCCAAAGCAATGAATACGTTTAGACATCGGCATTCGAGTTACACATTTGGTGATTCTTAAACCACCGTTTTACCATCAGTCGCATGCTGCACAATGGCACTCATTTTGTCACAAAGCTATGCTAACAAGGTGAACAGAAGCAAGTGGAATCGGTTGCAACATTTCCTCGCCTGTGCTGAAGACAATTGGACACGTTTATGATGAAAGTGCTTAGTACACTTACAGCTCAACCTGCTCTGGTGACCACCTGTCTATAGCGACCAGCCAAAAACAGCCCCAACGTTTTATCCTATGAGTAATGTCCTTATTCATGAACATCTCTATGGCAACCACGATACATATATTTCGATTCAAAACTCCCAACACACGACTAGAAAGCACAAATGACTTTTGTCTGCGAAGGTGTAGGCTATGCATACCTTACTACCGTGGTACAGGGTTGCGTGCCATGCTGCTGCCTAACCTCATTCCCGTGTGCAAAATCCGTGCACTATTTAGCGCGCCTCGCTTGTCGGGCTAAGTACTCGATGTCAGTTGACGATGTTCTGCGTTTTAGAGTAGACGTGCGAACAGAAGGCGAGGTATGTCAAAACACGACCGGTCAAGTGTAGGCAGTGCGAGCTTCGCCATCCATCGGGCAAAGATTTTCTTGTGTGGAAACTTGGTAAACGTTTGAATTGCCGTTGAATTCTGTCACAGAGGCGAAAGGGCTGACAATGAAGGTGCACACTAGCGGGGGGAGATAATCCAGACCACGTGAGCGTCTGACAGACTGATTGCTATGGTGAAAACGGAAGCTGACGAAAGCAGACCGTCATCGTCGCACGGCTTGGCATGTTACGGACGTGATCCTATCTACAGTCAGACAGTGAATGCCGCTACCAGGTTCGAATTTATTCAGACAAGATGTATGATTCACTTCGATGACAGACAGGCGAGGTAAGAGCATGTGACGTAAAGTGCGTAACATATTTCGTTCTAGCAGGCTCGGTGTTCTGTTTTCTTCCCCGGATTGTCAATGCAGTTAATCAGATAACAGAGGCGAGGGTATCGTTATAACAAATTCACTCAAGTTTGACAAACCCTACATATTGGTTCCTAGATAAGCTGCAGCTTTCAAACGGGGTTTCGCATCATAATGCTACAATAGTCGTTGGATAACGCTAGGAGTACTCACACCAAAGAGAGTAGAACGTATGGTTTGCATTCGAAAATTAGAGCAGATGCGCGCGTGAATTCCAGCGAAAATACTGCTGGATTTGCAGTAACAAATACTAGGATGATGTGTGCTAGAAAATTCTTCACTGGTAAGTTTGCTGAATGTCCATGATAAATATGGGTTGCTTATGTGTAATTGCAAAACAGCACTGAGGTTGTGAATACTAAATCGCTGAAAGTCAGGAGGGTCAAAAGAGTTGACCACACGATGTACGGTGCAGTTATTTGTTCGGCTGAAAGTTTCCATCAATTGTTGCACTCTTAATTTTGGACGTCAGATGAAGTATCTAACATGTCATCTATTTTATCAATAAGGAGTATGCAGTGCAATATTTGCTTGCATTCGTGGTGCTAATTTAGATATGCCATAGATGCAGTAGTCATTTCCAGTACCACAAGTCAGTTGGTCCACAATTGGAACTTAAATCACAGAGGCACCCAATCTTTACTTCAAATTATCTGACTGATGATTATACTAACAAATAATCCTGCAAATTCAGGAAACATGTGACAAGACAACGATATTTGTGCTGATGCGTTTCCACCAGTAGTAAATTTCTCGCATTGCCTAGCTTGTTCTTTGTACAACATTTCGCTATAATCTTCCTGTTTCAGATTATAAAGCGCTGTGTCTAGCTTAACTTGGATTTGTCCGGTATGTAACGTAATATGAAAAATATATCCCTATTATTTCAACTCATTTAAATTGAAACACCCACTCCATACATCATTTGAATCGCTGTCCAAACTTTATCTGAAGTAGCATACTACAAGGCAAAACAGCTTAATGAACACTGAGAAGTAGAGTCCACGAAATGTAAATAGAAACTCCCTTCTCTAGAAGTGACCAGTATGTTCGTAACTCACCTAGGTGGTGGGGGCGGTGGTGTCCGTGTTGGGGAAGGTGTTGGAGGCCGAAGTACATATTTGGAGGCTCCCAGCGCCGAATGTACAGTTAGCCTGGCGGCAGAAGGCCGAGGATCGAGTTCGTTGACCTACCCTGACTCGCTTATGGTGAACGCCCGTCATTTACGGTTGTTGTCCCCACCATCCAATAGCATCCAGTTAGCAAATGCTACTGCACCTGCAGAGACATGAATTTCTCTCTCACCTTAGTAATGAGGATGGATGGACTTTTAGGCAGACGAGTGATTTAGTGCAGGGCTCGACTAGGACAGTAGTAACCTGGTGAAGAAGCACTGATATGAGGCTGTTTTGATCATAGAGCGAGATGAGTACGGAGAACCACAACGTGTTTCCGGCATTCGTTAGCTGTCAGCTTACTTCGCACTGAGTGCTAAAGGTCATGATCAACCGTATACTTTGAAGCGATGGATGGTTATCTAGTGTCTCGCTGGCTACGCAGCGATGCCGGCGTAGGCAACCAGAACTGAGTCGTGAATTTGCGCACATGATGGCATCTCAGCTGAGGACCAGGTTTAGCATTGCAACTCTTGTCAATGTCGTTGAACCATTGCCACAGGTAATGCAGCACGAGCAGACAATGTAGTCGGGACCACGTAACGTGGCTGTTACACAACACACACTGATTATTTGGCTCTACGGTGAATGCGGTTTAAACCTCGCATCAACTTCACCAAGGTACAATGCAATAAACGCAGGAATCCATCCCGTCACCGCCCGGTACGTGCTTAAACTAGTGAAGAAGTTCGAGCAAACTGTGTGTGTGTGTGACATGAAATGAACCTGACCGCCTCACATCACCACGGACGGCTGTTCAGCATGCGCTGTAGTCAGTGAAGTGTCAAAAAGTACCCATCTAATCATTCGTCGGATCGCACAGCACTGTGACGTTACCCCATATGCGTACACCGGATATTACAGGAACACGTATTTCGAAGTCTCCGTGCATTTCAAGTGCAATGTATTTTGTTTGGTATTCAAGACGATAAATCTGGTGAACGCCTGCTGTCAGACGACTAGAGGAAACCCACTTGGGAAACAGCCTGCATTCGTATTGCTAATTTGTAGATAACATAAATGCAGTAGGCACTTCTACTATTGCAAATCGGTTGGTTTATCATTGAAACTTAAATCTCAAAAGCACCCAGACTTTACTCCAAATAGTGTGACTGTCACTTTTATTAAAATGCCGTGCTGCAAAGTCAGGAGCGACGTGACAAGGCAACGCTGTTTATACTGATGACTTTCCACCAGTAGTAAATATTCTGCGTTGCGTAACCTGTGCATCGTGCAACCTTTCGCTAACTGTATCTGTTTTAGATGATGGGAACTGTTTCACGCTAACCTTGGCTTTGTCGATTATGTAAAGTGCTGAGGAAATATATTACTCGTATTATTACTCTTTTAAAATGAAACGCCCAATCCATAATTCATGTGATCCGCTGTCCAACTTTTATCTTGTTGCAGCCTATGAAACAAAACAAGTTACTGAGAATTATGAAGTAGATTCCACGAAATGCAAATGAAAACTTCATTCGCTAGAATTGATCCGTAAATTTATAACTCACCTCGGTGGTGGAGGCGGTGGTGGCGGTGGTGGGGGAGGGGTTGGAGGCCGAAGAACATCTTTGGCGGCTTCCAGCGCCGACTGTACAGCGATTTCGAGTTTGGTACGCTTACGTGTTTCCCCAACCGGACCAGCAGATGGGGTGTGAATCACTTCGTCAGATAGTTCGTTGCATTGACACGTCGGCAGCTCACTGATTTGTTTCATTATCTGAACGAACGGTCATTAATAACGAAGATAAGATGGTGGAAATTGGATGTTACTCATCCGAAAACACCCATAAATCATACTCTTCGGTTACGGTCCTCGTGATGGAATTGACCAAGATTCAGTTCAATGCGAATCGCAGTGCAAATGGAGTTTGTGAGTCGCAATACAAGCACGCAAGGAATAGTTTACAATAAGCCTTCAAGCTGATGAGTTGCATTCTTATAATTTTGAGCACGAGAAGATGAAATATTCCGATTATGAAGGTTAATGTCAAGATAGATCATTTATTTGTAGTGTGTCTAGTGCAATGCCTGAAGCATGCCGGGCATTTGTATCTACCAGTGACCAATGAAGCAACAACGGTTATAATCTCATTTCAATGAAATCATCTTAGCACGGTCCTAAATTATACTACTGGCCATTCGGCTGAGGTGGAAACGTTACAACTAAAATTTCGCAACACTTCCTCTGTATTTGACTTCTGGGTGATTTGACTGTTTTCGCCATTTCCCCAATATTTAGCAAATGTGCTATACACGACTGTCAGCCTTGGTGCAGCCAAGTGCTAATTCACAAGAACTTCCTAAATTATGGGCAAATAGAGCATTGCTAAACATATATTCTCCTTCATGCGACAAAACCCTTCATTATTCAGCCCAGGGAACTGCTCAATACTTGAGAAGCCACGACTTAGACATATCACGCGCCACAGAGGTATGACCTTCAGCTGCGAATTCCCATTTCCGCAAACAGTCTAATCATGAAGTGCGGTTCTATCAAATGTTATATCTCCTAATTTGGCAATGTCCACGAATGGACTAGGTATACCCCTTACACATTAGGGATGGTATTCGAGACTTTCAACTAAATAAGTTTCCGATTAGCGATTGTTACATGCAGGTGTAACTGCCGTGCTAGGTTGAGCGTCGTGATTTTGACGAGTGTGAGTTTGGACGTAGGTTATGGCCTCGTAGCCTAGACTCATGAGGCCGATTTTCAATAACACCTGTATGGCCATGCTAAGGCAGTGTTGGCCAGATATAAAATAGTAGGTAAGAGCCGTCGAGTTTACATAGATCAACGTTAGTTAATATGCACGGATGCAATCGAGGAGAAGCACGTTTGTTTCAGTTAACCATCCCAATACTACTCTTTGTCATAGCAGTTAGTAGAACTGACTACTGATTAACGCTAAGTAGTATGCAAAAGTTCATATGCAATAACCGTAATTTGCTAGGGGTTCGATTCACGGGAGCCTTGTGGTTCAGCGGGTGGTTGATGATAACCGAGTTTCGGCTCAACTTGGTTGCACCCAATGGATAGCTGAAGGAGCCTATAGGATCCATTTTCACTTGCTTTTGTTGTCAGACAGGCTCAAGTCAAGGCAATGTTGTGAAGTTTCGTTTGGATTAGAGGCGGGTTAGCAGCCGCCACACATCCAGGAAATCCCCTACTACGTCCAACTAATCAGTAGTCACCTTAGCATCTTACATGCCACCTCAACTGGTGTCGACTTGCAAAAGAAGTCGTTGCTCTGCGGTCCAGCCCTGTCCTCTGCACGTTCATAAAATGTAGCAAAGTAGAGATTGAGCCGCAGTATGTCAGTCATAGAGGTCCGCTGCTGTCGCCCATGGCTTTGTGCCATAAGTAGCTGGCTCGCAAGAATACCGTCATGAGTTCGAATTCGACAGGATTCCATGTGTGCGCGCTAAAGACGAGAACCATAACTGCCTTTCTGGATGTGTGGTGGCTGTCTGCCTGAGTCTCACTGCGACGAGCCTGCAGAAATTACCCAATAAATCCCCCTACTACTTCCAACTAAGTCAAGTCAAGTTAAAACCCCCTTTATGCATTCTTGCCCAGTGAGTATTCAGCTATCACACACACGATCCAAAAAACGTACTAGCATATAAGCAAGTACGGAAATGCACCATAAGTCGATTTGATAAAGAACTGACAGAATCGCCATTATACTGTGGATTGGCTCATTAGGACTAGAACCGCAGATTTGGGGTCTCGCCGAAAACGCGAAAGATTAGTGATAACCGACCATCCGTAGGCTTGTGTGCAAGCATAAATCAGCTTGTACTTCTGTCTAGTGGAGGAATTTGAGAGACGTTCACATAAAACGATGTGAAGCGGATGACTACGTTCAACCAGTATCCTAGATGTCAGTTTCATACAATAATTGGTGTGTGTAGAAAGAAGTGTGTTGACAAAATCAGGCATTAGAAAGCCATTACATCGGGATAAGCGCTCTAAAGACCTGACAATTTAGTTAAAACTCTCACCCAGAAGACCGGTGAAAATCACAGGAAAGCATTAGGTCTAGTTAGGAAGAACACAGGCACAGGACAAATCGAAGGAGCAACTCAAGAGGGGCAGGGGAGGTTCTTAGGCGAAAGGCGTAGAAAGCCAGAGAAGAAGCCTAAAACGCATGGCGGTAGGAAATGTAGCGTGGCATGTGTGCAGACGAACCCTAGTCCTGACAACTAGAGTGCCTTTTAACGCATCGACATAACGGTACAATAATTGTCCGTGAAAACATTTGGTACACCAGCTGAGCCCAGCGGAGAGGATTTGTGTTGAAACAAGCTTCTGTACAAACACGTGAACAGTCCCAGGAGGGTGAAGCATGATGCCATTCTACTCACCGCAACAAATGGATGTGTCCGAACCGCCGAGGATACAGTCAAGATTCTACTGCTCCAATATTATCCACTATTCTGACGCGGCACCAGCATTCGTCACATACCTGTCCCATCCTCAAAGATACCATTAATTACTGCGTCAATTTTCGTTCAGCGACCGTTTTAATGGTGTTGTTATCGTTACGCTCTTATATTTCTCCTAGAGTTGAAAACGATCCCTCGAAAGCAATGCAGGTGGAAGCTGCTAGGACAGCTGAGCCATTGACCCAAATTAACTACAGATACCTGGATAAACAGCATGTTCCTGGCGTGTGCGAACGGTAACATTATACAGATTGTCAAAGGCGGTAGCCTTTTTAAGCCCGACAATTATATCCCAGTAATTTTTTGCTCCATGCTCTCAAAGGTGATGGATTCATTCATAACCGAGGTACATGGAATGTCTATAAAATTTTAATTTAATGGCACCGGAGTAAAACGGCTTCCGTCAGCATCGGTCATACACTGCCAATCTACCGATTGCGCTCGGCACGTGGACCGAAATAGTGGATAGCGGGACCGGCACTGAGGTCATCTACTCCGAAGTTTATTAATACCTTCGACCACTTCTATCACAGGGTATTTCTCCAAAAGCTACAAACGTAAAGAATCGCAAAATCTGTCCATGGGTTGATAGGAAATTTCCTTCTTCAACGGCTGCTTAACTTTCAACCTCTAGGTTTATATTCTGATAATATCGATGTAGGATGGGAATTTCACAAGGGTCAGTGATGTTGCTGTAAATATTCTTGATCTTCATTAACGACCATGAGCTAGTCATCAAATAGGTTTTCCTAATTCTTACCGCTGACAACATAATAAAGCATGCAACCGGTAGTCAGGAAGATCACGACCGGCTCTAACGAAAATTAGGCCGTGCTTTTGAACGGTCAAAAGCAAATCTAATGCCGTTTAACGCAGGCAAGTGCGAAACGGTATTTGTACGCCACTAGCCCATCAAAACATACAAGTTTAGAAGTCTCCAGCTGAGAACGGCTTCACAGGAAGGCGAGCTTGGGGCGGGGATGCTTGACGTACTCGGCTGTTGGGCGCAGTCTGGGGGCCGAAAACGCGAAGCAGCATTTCTATCTCTTAAACAGGGGTTTCGGTAGGTTCGACCATCAATCACTCCACAATTGCTCAATGCGTATGTAAAGCACCATAAATAATACACGATTTAGGCCTGCAAACTAGTGGAAAGTTGATCTGCTTGCATTGGGGATCCCTCACCTAAAGGCAACCAAAACTGTAGAGGGATTGTTCCACCTACCATGCCACCTGCGAATGAATGTCCTAGCGGTGTACAGAGGAAGTTATCGCCGTCTATGAGGCGACCAAATTCTGGCGTGCAAGATCATAAATATCCCGTTTACCTTTGCTGCCACCACTTAAAAGTTTCCACAACATAACATTGTGTTGACACAAGATGAAACTGGCCGGCCACTATATTCGGATTGTACGACGCGGAATTATTTTCCCTTTCAAATATGTCAATTGTGTAATGCTCTTTCGACATTGTATCTTCCGCAACCACCCTACTCACTCTTAGAAACGACTCGACGATGGTTTACAATACCTACGGTACTTGATCTGATTTCTGTTCCTCGATTGAGGATAAGACGCAGACAAACATTATGCTCACCGACCCCCACGAAATCTGAGTGAACGGATTTAATTGTATGTTAATGTGGATATTATAGGAAATCCACAGCTCGCTTTTCACGTTAATGTAACTTTTATATTCAAATTTAGGTATTAACATTCCTAATTCATGTGTGTGCTATTTATCCGTATTATATCAGGTCGACTTGTCAAGGACTAGGAATAACACAGGAAGCTATAGTCTGAATTTTACAAATGTGCTGTTTTAGCAGATGATCAACGAAGGCGATTGCAGTTTATTATATGGATAACGACATTAGTTCTTCTCATAAAACCCTAACAATAAGACTAGAGAAATTCGCAAGATACCAAAGATAGCTGTATTGTACTTTTCTACTACGCCATATTTGATATTGGTACCGACGTTGAAAAATATCATGTGTAACGTAATTTAATCTCAAGTAAACAAATTATTTACTGCGAAGTAACTTTGTAAACTGTTTCAGTGGTATAAGTTCACTTATATCTTTATATAAGCAATTGCGCAGCCATTGGTCTACGTATCCGTAACTTCTTTGAAGTTGCCGTATTTTGCAAGATATATCACGGGAGAAGGTTTGGCCACCGCAACAGAAACAATGGAAATGCGTTTGGTAGTTCACATTTCTACCTTGGGAAGACAAATAGGTTAAAATCAGTTCTTTAGCGAGCCGTCAACTAAACTATGCGTGAACTCCTTACGCGTCGTTAATCATATATGCCAGCGTCTGTTTAAGTAAACAGTTTAATTTACAATGACTTGAATTCACACACAAAACCGAAAACAGTGCCTTGTCTTTTCCCTGTGTGTTGCAAATGTAGTTCACAAGCAACTTCGTGGTGAGAATTAGGAAACAGTTGCGCTGGCATGCTGATAACTGTGGGTGCATCTGTAATGTGCTATTTTTCGTCGTTTTGTCCCACAACAGCATACGGTTAGATTTTCATTCTAATGGGTACGTTAGGGCAGTGACATCTAGCAGAGGATTGGAAGGAGTGTGTGCCTGTCCAACTTAGAACCACCTATGAAATGGTAATGCGACACGGCGGCAAAACCTCATGCGTAATGCGAAGCGGTGCTTCCACCAATTGTAATAAGCTAGTGGAAATATCGTAAATTTTTCTTGATATGTACCTACGTAGTAGCAAATATGGTCTCGTGCAATGTTTTTGAACACATATATTGCAGACAAACATAGCAGGAAACGGTTTCATTAAGCTACTTGTGTGCAGTGCCCGAACTTGAGTTGGAATAGCGCCTTCAGAGGGAGGTACAGATTAATTTGACGTATGATCTGTTATAAAGAACTGAAGATTACATATAGTAGTTCTGTTAAAATACCAGCTTGGAAGTGGCATATATCCATTCGAATAGATTGTGGTCAGCATTTTTATTTCGGGCTATGAAACAGGTACATCTCTTCCTATTCGCAGCATTTGCTCAGAATTTAGTACTCCCAATCTATCTGTTCGTATTGTGTGCAAATACTTGTGACTAACATTTATACTGCGTATATGCGCTGGCTCTGTGTGTTCATCGAAACATGAATAATTAACTGGTAAATGTGGAAAGACGCGTTACCTAACTACTCTAACTGTGCCGGCATCAAACTTAAGCTGCAATAATGGAAGATATAAATACTAATTACACTCCAAGCATTGCAATTGCTTGACCCTCAAATTTCCCTACCTTTTACCGTGTAGATGGAAACTGTACTTTGTTAGAAAGCTTATATTAAACACATACCAAGAAATAAAAATTAATGATTAGAAAGTCATACTAGTTCCGCTAGTTTAATTAGAAATTCCAACCTGCGATGACGACCACCTGTCTAAGGCAACCAATTTCGTTGGTCCGCTGTGCGGTTGCCTTAGAAAGATTTGCGCGTAAGTTGATCTAGTTTGCTAAATGCGCTGAGCAGCAATGGTGTCGAAAATAGTCGTGGATACATTCTCTTCATTATTCAAATAAGTCAACGGAACTCAGATAAGCCAGCTACCTATCCGAAAAAGCACCAGACGGCCGTTTCGCTCTATTGGGGCTCGTCAGTGGTGCGCATCCTTCGGTCCTCTACGGAGGATCGAACCCAGGACTGCTCTTGGCTTGTGCCAACTAGGCAGCAGCCTATGCAACTGCGCCAAGGGGGACGGTAGCCGACCATAACGAATTGTTAGCTAACCTTTCGTGATAGTCGGCTATCGTCCCCCATGGCGCAGTTGCATAAGCTGCGGGCTAGTTGGCACAAGCCGCTAGCTGGCATGGGTTCGATCCTCCGTAGCGGACCGAAGGATACGCACCACTGACGAGCCCCAATAGGGCGAAACGGCCGTCTGGTGCTTTTCCGGATAGGGAGCTGACTTATCTGAATTGTCGGCGGACTGCGACGAACAAAAATACTCACAAAACTCCTTCTACTCAAAGTTATTCAGAAGAACTTATAGAGTTACCTGGTTTTGTAAAAGCGGCTGGACAGAAAGGAATTTTCCGGGCTTCCAAACAGTCAATTTTTTTATATTCTAGCAAGCCGGTTTTAAATGGTAGGATTTTGAACAGAAAATGAATTTAAGTTATAAACGGTTTGTTTATTTTAAGGCACCAATGGTGTGCTTGTCACGCGCGTTGTTATACGGACTTAGTCACATGTTCCCAAATCATTCATGCTTGATAACCTCGAAAACAAACTCGATAAACCTTCTGACCGTCGTCTTTCACACTCTGTTGTACGGAGCAACCCAAGTGAGATTATCATCTGATATTGCACTTCTATCACGTAGTTGTGTCGCAAAATAGATTTCTGTTGTTTGTTTGCAATCTACACGAGTGTGCACAATAGGTTGCCTTCCTTTTTGCAATAAACCGGCTTTTAGTCTGTCTCCGTTGTTCTTACGGGGTTACAGAACCACTCAAATAGTTTATGAGATGGCATTGATGAACGTAGCAGAACAGATTGCTGTTCAATTTTTCGATATTTAGCCAAGCTCACCAAACTGTGCCAATGGTTCTGACAATAGTATTTTTACGGTGTTTAAAGCGATTCTGTCTTGAATCTATATGACATCTTTTTTGAGATTGGTCACAGCTAGTCTTAGGCACACAGCCACTACACGTCTTGTAAAGCGCTAGATGCCGTTTCGTCCTATTGGGAATTACCCACCCATCTAATCTTGCCGTATGCAGACCAATAACCTTACTCTTGCAAGCCAGAGATTTAGGCTACTGAGCCATGGGTGACGGAAGCAGACCGCCATGATTGACATCTAACTGCGATGTAGTGTGGCTCATCCTCCACTGTCATGCAGCTTATGAAGGTGCAGAGGACAGGGCTGGCCCCCAAAGCAACGACTTCCTTTGCACTCCGTTATCAATAATTGTGGAATATGAGCACTTCCCTGGATTTCTGGTGGATGTCTGACTGCATCTAGCTGCGACAACTTGTCTCAAAACTACAACAAATTTACCTGTTACTCACTAACGACTTGACGCAGTGAATGGATGAAGATGGTTGCTTCGGTTAAAGTGGTGAACATAGTATTTATTTTAAGCACATGCTGGCCTTAGTAGGGTTTCGATATAGGGATCTGTGATGAATTACACTGGTCCACCCAAGGAATAAGATGAAAGTATAGAGTGGAAGAAGTTTCGAATAGAGAACTCAGTGAGGTGTTTATTTTATCGGAAAACCCCTTCCATGCAACAACGATAACCGCTTTGTTTTGGAGGATAGCTATTTTCAAGCAGCCTTTAGTATGTCAGATAAACAAGCTTAGATGCCGGTTCCACCCAATTCACTCTAGGACGATAACGCGAACGCTGAGTAGGTTGAACGTTATTTCGTGTGTTTTGACCTCCTGCTTTATGCAAAAGTTAAGCAGCCACATAAGGACATTTTTTACCCGCCACCGTAGGTAATGTTCCTTAATAAGTTGTCTAATCTCCCTGACAACTTCCCCAGCATGTCATACAAGATTATACTAGTATGCAGGCGAAGTTCGCTAATAAAATTGTGCCTAAAATTTGTCACGTTATCGTAATTTAACTGTACTAATGCAATTGCAACTGTACCGTAGATCATCTGGCCGAGATCGGATGAATAGCAAGAACATATTTTCCAACATTTGTATACATACCTTAAGATAATAACTAAAACTGAAGAAACCAGGCAAAGATCTTCCAAATCTAAACGGCTGGATGTAACGCACTTTGTTCGTGTCTTAGCCCACTCCTAGGAAACGCGCTTTATACTTGTCGAACAATCAGGATGTGAAGCGGTTACGTTTCAAAAAACCCCAGATTCGCTTCTTCGTTTGTGGTTAGGAAATTGTTTATTCTATCCATGTCGACTTACTCGCTGTTGAGTATCAGTCACCGAACGAACTACATCTCCGAGGTTGGAAATCATTTGAGCCACATCATTTAATCTTGAATCGACGTCGTTGAAGCGTTGGAATTGAGTATCAATTTCTTTGAACCGCTTTTCCAGTTCCATACCAATACCCTATAGGATATTTGTCAAGCGATAAGGCATGGTAAGACCAAGTGAGGAAATCTCACGGACTCAAAATATGATCACAAGATTAGTAAAGTAACCTTTTGTAGATTACTGTGAAAATGTGCGCAACCGGATTGAGATGTGCATGAAAAGAGGCAAGAAAGATTGTGCTCACCCAGCCAGAGAGTTGGGTGCAATTTATAACGTTGGTCTACTTTATCAGTTGAATTAATCAAACAAGTACAGGTAAACAAGATAAGCGTGAAAAATTTTAGTGTGCGGACCCCTATTATTTCTAAAAATTGTGCCTATGTGCATTTCTTGCAGTTAGCTGATTAGATGATTTCGGCATATTAGCTTGCAATTTATGCAACTTTGCATAAATCGGGTCAACGCGGTAGCACGCATAATGCCAGAAAGCACCGAGGGACTGGCATTTCCTTCTAGAATTGGTTCAGAGCGCTACTGTTAACTGTCATAGCACGCTGCCGTAAAGAAAGCGGTGCTTTTTACCTCAGCTGTTACATCACGAAGTGCGTGTGTCATTTGGGTTCTGTAGTGATATAGTTAAATTTCCTTAGTTTTTTGTTACAATTCCCCATTACAATTTTGGTGCGTTTGTTTTACTTTTAAACCTTTTGTTGCTTGGAGTCTCGGAAGTAAATGGCTGCCTTCGCGGAAGCGAAATGTGTGCCGGATAACATGAGTGCTACTATACAGCAGATATTGATACTGAACTCTGCTATAAATCCCCTTCGTATACAATCAAGAATTTGATCTAAAAATGTTATTATCTTTACTAAGAGGAATGTAATATGTTATTTAACAGAGTGAGCGAACGATTTTAATCATTGCAAATTAATTATGAAGGCCAGCCAGTGTTTTAAAAGATCACCAGCCTGCTTTGTAATCCGTGTGCGCTGGTCTGAGCCTGTATAGGGGGACCAGGGGACGCCCGCAGTGTCCTTAGCCCTGGTGCGACTAGTGGTGGTGGCGCGGCAGCAAAGCTTCGGTAATGCGTATCGGCGTACTGTTGATACCTATATTATTAATTATACGAATGAGCGCATGTGTAAAGCTCTGCACGGAATTTGAAATTAAGCTAGTTTTGCGTGCGTAAAAGTTTGTATAAGGGGATATGGGACACTGGTTGCTAAACGGTTAAATAATTTATTATGATGTGAAATGGAGAAGTATTTTTGAAATCAGAAATGTCGCAATCAAAATCCAGTGATATAAGAAGTGCATTCCCAATGTCCAAGTCAGCCTGACGTCGACGGATAACGGTTTTTAAAGGAACAGGCGTTAGAAAAACGAACGAAGCGCTGACTAGATTGGCACGACACATGTTTGAATATTGAGCCACGATTTCGCCTGGGATTCTTGACCACTACGTGTCTGCTTGTTGAGGGAGCAGGCGGCCAGTGCCAGCAAGTATCTTAGGGTAGATATATGGTCTGAGCCATAACTCCCCAATGTTGTCTGACATTGGGATCCCCAACGGTATTTGAACATACCTAGAGCCGGCTATATTAGTTGAAACAAAATTTTGTTACCAAGTATCATTGTGTTAAAGGTATAATGTTAGCATTTTATCGATAAGATTTAATAGACTGAGCTTGAGGTTCACTTTTCTCAGGGTTGTCAAATATCTACGGGCAGCCGGTTTTTTCACTCTGTGGATATTTCTCGTTCTCTATGAAATCATGTAGAGTTTGAAATACTTCCAATGATATAATGCAGAGAGAAGTGAAACGTTGTAATTCAAGTCAAATTTATACACATGACAAATTTCATGAACCCTTGCTAAGGCTCCGGTCCATGCGTGTTGCTAACACAGTGGAAGTGTTGAATTTGTAACGATTCCTGATTTTCCCCTTAATATTAGGAGAAAGGCATTCTACATCTAATTAATTTGTTACCTTTTCGTACAACTGACAACTTTAATATGAACTTCTTTTTCCACGTTGGCTGGTAAGATGCAAAAGATCGCTGCTTATTCATTGATATGAAGGGCGCCGATATGTGTTTCGTACACCTAAGGTGTCTGCTAACATTGGCATTAAAACAGCATGCGTAGAACTAGTCATGTTGGGTCAACTAATTTCACTATTACTTCCATTGTTAATGACAGTGGAAGATAGGTCGTGCTGTGTCGCAATTAGCTTGCAAATTATTTAGCTCATGAAACGTCCCACATGGCTCATTGGCTTAAACTGATGGCCAGTTGGCTTCTGCTTCTAGCAGTCATGGGTTCGATCCTCAGTAGGAGACCGATGGATGCGCACCACTGACAAGCCCCAATAGGGCGAAACGCGTCTGGTGTGTTCCCGGACTAGGCTGTGCTATGTGGCTTGTGAAGTACTGGGATGAAAGCCTTAACAAAATTAGAACTGAGATCCTGCTACTCGCGAGGATTATGAAATTCGAAGAGAAGATGGCGATGCAATGGCTTTTGGATGGCCTTCGAGACGATAAAGCTGATGAACGCCTGCTGTCAGAAGACGAGAAGCAACCCATTTGGGAAACAGCTTGCTCAGTGGTCAGACAAATGGAAAGCTTTGTGCAACGACTAATTCAGTATCGAAGCGCTTCTCTTTCGTGTGCTGTCCATGCGGTGAGACCTCGACTATCGCCCAAAAACAAACATTTCTTTACTGACCACAGATGCGGTGAGAAGCATGCAAATATTACTGTTTGCAGACACAAAAAGTCTACTTGTCCTAGGTGCAGAAAGGTTGGACATATTGCACGTGTATATCGCTCGACTGTGCTTCAATGCCCGATAACCCACTCTGCCTAGGGTACTGTTTCAACTGTGGCAAACACTGCTGATCACATATTTTCTATCTAATTTCGCACACAACTGCATCGCACGCAATACGATTGCCCTCGTACATTGTTGCTTTTAACACTGAAGGCCAGCCAGTAACTCTGGAGATCTATGCCGGAGTTTCGGTTACATTTATCAACAAACGAACTTCAACAGACCTGATTCTGACTCCGACTCACTCTAAACTACTATCATACACTGGATCAACACTCGATGTTTTGGGTGTGTGTGAGGTGAAAGTAAATCATATGGGCAATACGTTGACTCTTCCACTAATCGGTGTTGACACAGACGAACCTAATCTACTTGGGCGGAAGTGATTAAAGTACACGCCGGAAGAATTACAATCTGTCAAGAAGGTGGACAGTATTTCTGACTTACCTACACTCTTGAACAGCTTTGCCAGTGTTTTCGATACAAACATCTCTGTGAAATTACGTGATTTTAACGCTCGCTTGAATTTCAAGCCACAGACTCAACCGAAATTTTACTAGGCGCGGAGTCTCCCTTTCGTAATCAGTATGAGGCTAGAGTTATGGGGCTTACAAAAGGAAGGAATAAATTCACCCGTACGCCACTCTACCTGGGCTACACCCATCGTCCCTTTACAGAAGCTTGATGGCTCAGTTCGCATTTGTGGTGACTATAAACTGACGGCTAATCAATCGACCACGACGGAATCTTATCCGATTCCACGTACAGATGACCTGCACGTCAACTTTTCTGGTGGACAAAAGGTCTCGAAACTTTATCTAAACAACGCTTATTCTCAATTGGAGCTACAGAAATCCTCAAAGCAAATTACTACCATTAAAACGCACATGGGTATATTTTGATATACCCGATTAATATTCGGGATACACTCCGTGCCGGCGACCTTGCAGAGAATATTTTGAATAGGGAGCAAATATCCCAGGTGTAGACATCAGAACAAGAGTCAGCGAACAAGCTCGTTTTCGGTGGATCTCGTTAAGCTGATACACCACAAGGAATACGAATAAAATAAGTTAGAACATCAGACAGGAGTAAAGTTAAAAGGGTAAAGTTAAAAGGTCTAGGTCATCTAAATGACAAGGTCAAATGTTTGTTTTGCAAATGGTCAGTGACATGTCAGTTGCATGTTGCTCATCGGGGGTATTGTAATAGGGGGCCAGGGAAGAGAGAGAATCTGAACGAATTGTTTTTTGCACATAGGTCTGGGATCTGGAGATAAATGGTGATCGCTTCGGCTGTTGCTAATAGGCGACATCTTACCACTCGTGTGTAGCATGCAGATACGCGGTAAATTGGCTGGAAATTTTGGTGTCTGTTGATCTGGTGGTTAAAATCAACTGGATGTGCAAACACGGCGCTTGTCACTCTTTTAGTTCCACCTGCACACAGCCAACTCGGGCAATGCTCACGGATTCTATCAGACTGTCTCCTATTTGTTCTACCAATATAACTTAATCTAAAGGTACAAGTAAAGGAGTATACACAGAAAGAGGTACTTGACCGAGGAAGTCTGTCTTTGAGTTGAAGCCTTACGATTGGTGTTGAAGTAAATCTTAACCGTAAGCTTGCCGCGTAGTACGCACGGTTTATGACGTCGGATAGCCTTCTGGACATTGCCTGCACTATTCCATCCCTTTTGAACACCAACGACAGATAAATCAATTTCTTTTCAACCGAATCGGTTTTACCCCTCGATTCTCGGCACTCCATATTTCTCCGAACAATCTTCTCGGCTTAGCCGTTTCTCTCAAAAAGGCCAGTTAAGAAATTCAGCTCGTCTGAAAGTGTGTCCTTGCTACATATCCTTCTTGCTCTTTCGGGTAAACATCTAACCAAGTTCCGCTTCTAACTTAGTGGGACAAAGCTGGCAAAATATATGTACTGTCCATTCCATGCGGCTTTTCTGTGCACCCCGCGTTGGATCCACCCATCTGATCTTCTGTTAATTTGGAAGTCTAGGAGAGACATGGTACCATGACTTTCAGATTCCACGGTAAACTTAGTGTTGTCGTGCGCTGAGTTAAAATGGGATAGAATTTGCTCTGTGCAGAGTTGACTGTCTGTCACACAAAATACATCATCCACATATCGGCCGTAATAGGGTAATACGCTAATGACTCCGTTCAGGTGGTTGTTTTCTAATTTCCTCATGAATACATCGGTCAGCAGCGGTCCTAGCGGTGAGCCCATCGCTACTCCGCATTTTTGTCCGTATATTACCCCATTAAACTGAAATTGTATGTTACTAGTACACAGCGTGAGTAGCTGTTTCAACCGATTGTTCAAAAGGCAGCTGTTCAAATGATGTGCTCGAATGGTATCACCTAAACAGTCTATTTCTATTGTTGAAAACATAATGAAAGTTATCCCCGACGTTTGCGCTTACTTAGACGACTTACCGGTTACTGGTTCTATCGAAAACGAATATATGACAACACTTGCAACAGTCTCAAAACGTTTTTAGGAGAGCGGACGGAAACTCAAGGAGTCTAGATGTATCTTATTTTGTAATGCAGTTGTGTATCTGTAATTCTGATTGGACAAACACGGGTTACGTCCCCTACCAGAAATAGTTCAGAGGTTATGAGAAAATTGGAAATTCTGGTCAGGTGGAAACATTTAGCAGACTGGAATTGATCTGCATTTGTCAAGGCATTTACAGGACACCGAGTAACTGCGGAATAATCTGATGGAATTCCCCTCAGTCAGGTCAAGCCAAAAGCGCGCCAAATTGTTTGGAATCACCAAACCGGCTGCGTCCTCCAGGGGACAGTGGCAGTTAGTATTCCATTTCGATCTGGTTTTGGTTTACGCTGACTATTCTGTTGCTAACTGAAAGGGCAAGCTCTATGACAAGGCCTCGAAGGATGGGGCTGAGAAACTAACAATGTACAAAGCACGGATACATTACCAATGTCATAAGTATTTTGCTGTTTGAAAAATTAACACAAGCTCGGCCCTTGAGTCACGCCCTACCACACTGAGCTGCACGTCAGTTAACAATCTTCACAGACGGAGTTTAGGTCGGTACATAATTGTAGACTGAAAGGCACTATCATTAGGTTCGTCGATCATCAATTCATAGGCATAACTTAGCTGCTACTGCAATGACATATTGTTCAGTTCGTTATTTTTAAGTACTGTCACTTGCTGTAGCACAGACCTATGAGGATCCGTTGTCTCAATGAAAAAGTTCTTCTTCGGTAAACTCGTTTAGACAGACACCATAGTTTCGGAAATGCCCTAAACGTAAGGGTTGTCTTAATGGAGCTCTTTAATCGCACGACAACACCCGTCAATAAACTGGCGCATGAGCCCAACTTATTTCAGCCGCATTGGGAATAGGAAACTACAATACACAATGAACTAATGGATTTGATATCACCGTTGCCTACACGATTGCCAAAGCATATAACAATGGCACATCAAAGAAACACGGCCCATCGCAAGTTAGCTGCTGGAAGAATTAACTAACGACTGGGTCTGTGATATGCAAATAACCAAAAACGTATGCACATGTGCCAAATTGGATGCATTTCTGCGTTTGATATATATTACAACGCAATGAGACGTGCTGAAACTCCAATTTTTCTTCCCTAAACCGATGTCGTCCCTTAGTTGGGAACATATATTTCTAGTAGGAGATAATCCTTATTTAGTTTTTTATAGCCACAGAAATTCGGGAAGTGGGAGAATTCATTACATCGAAATGCTCAGTAGGAATGTAGCGTGAATCACTCTTTATTCCTTAAGTCAAGTGACCAACCGCCCCAGCGATGCTGACAAGAACCTCTTCGATGTTAACATTAGTCAGTGATCCCATACCCATATTTATGACGCTGTATTGTTAAGAACAAACGTTTGTTGATCTATTGTACTGCCACTTCCAAACTTCAGGTAACACTGTGCTTGAAATTATTTGGCATTTTCAATCAAGCTATAAATTATTTTTTCAAAACTATACCCATATTTGTCGTTTGCTTGGAAGTTGTTGTGAGCATGTTCAAGGAATAAGGTTGATAAGATCATCAGAACAATTTCACAGAATCAAGAGGTACATGATTTTTGCCACCAGTTATGAATTAACTACAAGCTGATTCCCATCAGTTTACCTCAGTAACGCTGGACATCTCGCTTTTCAAATCCAAAACCGGTCCTTGCCCAGGGCCGCCTCCTGCACCACCACCACGAAAGACAACTGCACGAGACTCGGCAACGCCTCGTTTACCAGTAGCTTTTGTAGATGGCTCGCGCAGGTAGTCCATAGCTTTCATATGTTCCCATTTGACCATCTCACGTTCCTTCTTCAAATCAGTGAAGCGAACACCTAAAATGCACCAAAATAGTCGACAAACCGTGTTTTCTCATCAAGGAAGCGTAGATAAAACGCCTAAGCAAGGCTATTTTGCAAACACATCAGAAATCTGTTTACCAGTAATAACCTCTCCTTTTGCTCCCCAACAGCAGGTGTTGCTTATTATCAATATTAATACAAATCAGTTATTAAAATTTGGGAGTTTAGCAGCACGAACAATATTAGACTCTGATTTTCCCACATGTGACAGCATGTTTCAGTATTCATTAAGCGCCTCCCCATAAACTTATCAGGCCAAACACAGAAATTCACCGGAAACACCATTTAACTTTACTGCTTTTATGTACACTTACTAATTCGTGTGGTCCAGCACTCGAAAGCTGCCAATAGACTGGTGTCAATTATTCCGCTGTCCGACTTGTGCATAGCTGGCCTCATTGGTTGTCTAGCAACGGTGGAGCTTCTTGCGGTGTCTAGTTCATTAGAACTTAGCAGGCAGTGAACTAAGACTTCAGGGAGCAATCAAATAGTTGCCCATTTATTTCCGTTTTAAAATTGGTGGATATCTTTGTCCTAACTATATCACAGCACAAGAGGCCTTATCAAGTAAACTCCCATCCAAACTATCAACCGACCCTAAACATTTGGTTCGGTATCTGTGTTTGAAGGAAGGCGGTATAACAATGAATTCAGAAAAGTCTCACCTACTAGTGTAGCCGACGTTTCGGGGGAAAAGGGATTTCGTTCGGTCATCATTTGAACGAATTATAAACACTTAGTTCATGGGATAAGGGAAGTAGTGCGCCTTTACGATAGACGATCTAATCCATTACTTTGAAATGAAGCCAGACGTGCTGAGCTTGGCTACAAAGTAGCTGATGTGACCTGAATGATCCGGATTAGAGTATTTAAACAATCAGTAAATAAATGTGTATATTTTCCGACTAGCAGGTACGTTCCCTTTTATGGAACGATGGTTTGTACACCGAGTTATATCATAGGTTCATTTAAGAAGTGCTTTCTGTATGTTTCCTTAGGAAAGTAATACATAACCTTAGTCGACGTTTACCATTGCCATAGGTTTATCGGGCCAGATTTTGTGCGTGCGAACGTGGATTGCTGAAAGTCAGAAACTTGGACTACATTTGACAAGGAAATAGAAGTTTGAAATAAGTTTTAAAATAGACAGGCTCTTGCTTGTCCTTAATTGCAACGGTAGTTTATTCCACCTTACCAAGAAGAAGGCTAAGCGGATACTTTGCTTGGTCCTCTGTAGGAATAGTAGCTATTTCTTATTACGAGTGAGATAGGTTGGGCCATTATGTCAAGCGGCTGATGTATGGGTTTGGAAAATTAGCGGGTGTATAAAGCTTTTGGTCGATATATCATGTACGTTGCATCAAGAACTAATAATCGACCGTTTTTATTTGTCGTGCACTTAATTAATCCAACGATCCTGACAAAACACGTCAGATTGGTGTAGCGTTAAGGTAGATTAGCAGTAGCTAAATCACCAAATCCAGTTAAATGCTATGACCAACTGTATTTTCCCGAGAAGTTCCATGTTCAGCAGACATTAAACGCTCAACTTCGTTTACCTAACATATCGTATTGGCAGAGGCATTTTTGCCGATTGCCACAAATAGGTCGATCATACGCAATAAATGTACACCAGGAAATCCAAACTATTGCAACATATGCAAGGTCAATATGCAGTGTGCGCACGGGTCATTGATCAGCTTTTTGCTACCGGGGAGGATTTTTATTTCAAATTTAGCTATTGATGTTTGCTGGGTTTGATCCAACATTAAGTTACTTAAATCACCTGAGACAATGAGCTTAGTGCAGGTAAGACACTTCTGGCTCAATACAAGGGTTAACGTAGACCAAAATCCTTGATGACGGACGCTTTCTAGAAAATTTTTCTTTCAAGCGAAATTAGTTTTGACTAATACAGCATAAAGTAGAAAATCTCCGCGTCAATTCTTTGCACGACACAACGTACGTACTACTGTACACTGGTGCGTCGACCTGAAATTATAAAAGTGTCGCAAATATACTCAGGTAAATTAGTTTTCATAGACAATCCTTCTGGCAATATTATAAGGAAGGTATTTGTACGGGCACATAGACGTAACCAGCGTTGTGTATCAAATCCCGCAGAATTACTTAGGCAAGCGAATAGCGAAAGCAACTTTCAAGAAAGTAAAATATAGTTGTTTGCTACCTGTCAGTCGCCCAGGTTTTCCTCTCTCTCGAGGAACATTACGTAGTTCAGCTTCAAGGGTGGTCATTACGGAACTAGTGACAAGTCGCCTCAGAATTTAAGTGACTGTCGGGCAAAGCCCTCATGTGAATTCATACCGGTACTGCAAACGATCGCATGGTCCTAGTTATCTAAAGTAGACTAGCAACACGATTATTTGGAATAATGCTGAACAAAGTTTGACTGTATCGCACTTTTAGAAGGAAGCTGAAATTTAAACGCTGTATTTATCAGGATTTCTCTTGTAGAAGTTTGTGAATAAATCGCTTCCTCATCGGTGCCAGTTTGAAAACAACCATACGTCTACCACTATTACAGGCTCTCAAGTAACTGCACAATGACTGGCACAAAATGCTCGAGTTTATATGCTTTATCGTGTGATCGGAACATGATTTTCGCCCCGGACACACGAGAACAAGAGAAATATGTGCTGATCTAGACACAGCAATGGTACGGTTATCCGATGTAGTTTTTAAAGCACAGTAGCGACATAGCTAAGCAAAGTAGTGCACCAACGGTTTTAAAAGAGCCTGATCTTTATCGAACTACCATTCACACCCGAACACATCATGAATCTCACCGTGGAACGTATTATTGTTTCAGTGAATAGCGCGTACAAGGCAGCTGAGCTGCGGTTGCTTACGTCAACAAGATCACTGCTTATGTGTTCCATCAAAGCACCGATAACGAAGCAGTTCAAATCTCATTTATTATGCAAAGGAACCTGTAGCGTCGGAGATAGCTATGTCGGACGCACTGGCCAAATTTAGGCCTCAAGATCAATGATCACCAGCTCGATGACGACGTTATTGAGTGAAATGAGAGAAACAGCTGGGTCGACAATCACAAGGCACTTGCTGAGCACATGCAGCCTAATCAGTCCCGATGAATCATTCCTCGTCCTGATACGCAATCACCGACCCCACATTCTCAAGCTCTATTGGAATCCATCGTGATCAATCGAGGACGGCATTGTCTGCAGAAACAGCTGAATGTGGATCTTAATCTACTGTAGCAGTTTGAGGCGCAACGATTGACTAAGGATGGACAAGCTATTCATACCATATGACCACGCTTTGTGTATCAATGTTTTCTGCGTGATTTTTGGTTGATGGGCTTGCAAGAAATGACAATGGCTGCACGGTTTAATTCTTCATATATTTCTCATGTTACTTCATCGTGCTGGTATTTTAAAAGGGTGCAAACTTCAAGACGCATGGAGAACACAGTACTTCAATACCATTCAGGTCACTATCAACGGCGATGATTAAGCGGATACATGGGTACTACCATTCAACACTGAACCAAGATTGGCACCAACGCATGAGCAGGGGTCATGCGGGTCAACTTTGTGTTTACATTTTGCTTAATATCCCTGAACACAGTGAGTGAGCAGCATCCAATTGAATAAATATAACTTATTGTCAAAATGGGCTGTATGTTTGCTGACAAAACTTGGTAGTTTGGTCACAAACGGTTCATCAACATCTGAATTGACATTGCGGGTGCAAGGGTACCGTTAGTTGCATTGTAAGTGCCTGTAGCAGGCATATATAACAGCTAATCTTTAACTTAAAGATTAGTTACTGTTGTGCTCCTCGATTTTCTGCTCATTTCGCACGCGGCTCTACTTGTACGATAAGTAGCCGTTTCAGAGAAATTATCGAGACTTTTCGAATGTTCTCCTCTTCCTGACAAAAGATGTGTGCATAGCAAACTTTTTGAGGTGAGGCTTACCACACCTATATTTACTCCGGCATCAGCCTGTTTTAAGTAGCAGGTTTCCAACTGATTTCTTTATTTCAGTGTACTTGCTTGCTAGAAACGACCGATTTCTATACTCTGTGCTTTTCAATCGGAATTAGGAATTAATAAACGCCTTTCACATCCATTACTTTATAATTCCAGATGTTTAGTGTATCCTAGACAAAAGTGCCTTTATTCTCCTCCACCCTTGTTGTGACCAGCGGTGCGGCGCGCTTTCTCAGCAGTACATCTAGGGTGGACCAATCTTTACTTTGTCAACATTGCTGTCCAACGTCAAAACTCCTATCAAAACTGTGATAGCTTTTGTACCAATTGCAGCGCGGATCAAAATGTTCTGTGCAAGTCTCCAAAAATCCTGTGCACTAAGGCATTTGCGCACAGTTCTACATTGCTTAACCCTCAATGTTCTAAACTTTATAAAAGGTTATCTATTTTTTGAGCTATATACTTTGTTAACCTGAAAGAAGTTGCATTGTCCCACCTAGTCCAAATTCTTTGTGGAATTACCCTATTTTCGTGTGTCAGGAACATGGCCTTCAGCATATTAAAACGGAATAAGGCATGTGTTGGGCAAGCCTATGGCGCCGAATAGTCTTGTTTTGTTAACAACCGGTTGAGCACAACTAAACATTGTGGTCGTAAGTTTTAATCATTTCCTACGGTCTGCTTAATATTCGACCAAGACGACTGTAAATCATGCTCCGAATATTTTGCTCGATGTGATGTTGACCTATTACTGACCGTAATGTACTTCGCTCGGCCTCACTCTGTTGCCCCGAAGATTCTACAAGCTCAATATTTGGGTTGAAAACTCGCTGGCTATTTTAAGTAAAGTTTGCAGATGGTGACCGTCCAGGCTACTTGAGTCCCACTGGTCAACTTGACCAGAGCAAACATTCAGCGCGCATTTCTTTGAAATCACCCACTTATTCCTCCACCTGTTCCTTCTTATAATCATTTCTTTGATTTTAACAGCAACTTCTCCTAGATCGTAAATGTTGATACTAGGTGTCGTGTAATACAAATCACTGCAAATGTTGGATGATTGACTGAGGAGCGGACAGCGGTGTTTTACAATACCGACGGGGAGAGACATGGCTGCATTTTCGTTTTTGCTAACAAGGCTAGCATTAGTACCGTGTAATTATGCGAAAGGCATTTCGAGAATGTTTAATGAGCTATTTTGTCCACCAAATTCGTGCAACAAATAATTTAGGTCTTGAATTTCTGTACTAAAGCCGAATTTCGGGGTGCTAGAAAGTTCCATGCAGTTTTAGCTGTTTTGAAGCTTAACATATCTTGATTAGATTCGTCGTGATAAGCCTCACTCAACGGTTACATTACATCCAGACTAGCAAAAGACGCCCACTATATCTTATTGTGACTCGGAGATATCCCGCATCCGAGAAATTATGCTGGCACCTAATGCCGTCTTACTATACCTAAACGTTGACCTAGGCCTCTGAGTCATGCTTGAGGTCAACCCACTGACCTGGCTAGTTATTGTGTGAACTATAGTGCGGAGCATGCTCCACTATCATATAGACTAGCAACGTGCAGGGGAGAGTTGTGTCCATTAGGACTGTAAATTATGTTGCATGGAACCACCAGTCCAGATTGCATGTATATCGATTCCCGATAATCGACGGTTCGTAAACAAATGTATGCCTTTAAATGGCTTGTATCGAGCCAATAAACTTCCTTCTTATTAATCAGAATTTCAAAGACATGTTAGAATGCCATTACAGTACACACGTTACGTTCCACAAGATCCTACTTAAAAACAAGTAAAATATCTATGAGTATTTGGCTGAACGACGGTAGTATCTGCCAATTTACGCTTTCTAAACTTTAGTATGATCATATACAGCTACTTCTTGCAAATATGCATTAAGCTTCATAGTACGGCACGGGTTTAACGACAAACAGTGCATCCCAGTTCATTTCGCTTGTGAGGTCCTCGTACCATTTCGCTTTGGTCCGTTCCCTTAACTGCGCCCATTTCTTCACCCTTGCTTGCTAAGTTGTGTGACACAGCATTTTGGGTTATGCCACGACCCACCTTTACTTCGAACCAATTTCACAGCTATTGATTCCAATTTCAATGCGTTCATCGTTCTCCACAATGATTACTATGCGGAGTCGATAGATCGGCTCAGCAGAACACAGCGGGTTTATAAGGCGCCTTACTCGTCTATGCTCTCAGATTCTGAGCGATCCTCGAAATATCAACGGGCAGGAAAGCAAACAAACTTTAATTTCATAGTTGGAAAAACTTACAAAATGGATTGTTTTTTGTGTTTTCACTGTTCCTTAGACTTGCGCAACGATCTCCGATTGCTTTGTACGCTTCGTAGAAGTGCCAAAAGATAATAATCGGAGGGACAAGCGGAGATCGATGAACATAGTCGTTGATCATTTGGTAGCGTTGGTAATTCCAGTAATAGGTAGAGGCACTCTCGATCTCCTCGTAGGTCTTCCTGAGAAAAAGGAAGGGAAACCGCATCAGTTGCACTTGGTCTTAGCTGGATCCCACAACGATGATAATGTTTTATCCACTTGACTGCTTTCAGTTCAAGCGGACTCAAATAGGGCTGGCTATTCAATAGGCATCTTGAACGTGTGATCATAGTGTGCCAGTTCAAAGAAAGGGCCCACTATCTAGTGCTTCGTCAAGAGGAATTATTTGGTAAAGCTGGCCTCGCGGAGGCTCTCTGCGCCGCAATCCCAGCCGCGGGATAAGAGACAGAAGATAGTGTCCTGTCAGACCGAGGTGTATTAGGACTAAATCAAGGTTAATTGTATAGGTCACATGCCATCATCTCCGGTTGTACGTTCTGAGTTGAATCCCGCCAGTTGTCCTGGCAGATTCAAACGTGCTAGCGGTCGGCACTGGCAGCTGTAATTGCACTTTCACACGCCTTTTGCGCAGCAGCTTATGCAATGATAATGGACTAATTTCATCAGCTTTTCGCGTGACTTGTCACAGGCCCACTTCAAGTCTCAAAACTGTATCACATTCTTTCGTTGCGGTCACTTAATAATCCAGTAACTCTTGTGTTTTGGCAAACTCACTGGGTTTCCATTAATGCTATATCTAATCATCGTTTATTCCACATTCAACAAGGCGTGTTGTAGCGTTGCTGCGTGGTTAGAAACAGCGCTTTATGGTGTTGATAGACTATGTACGTATTAAATGTGTTTCTCTTAAACGATAGCATCTTGCTCGCAGTTGGTACGTAACTCAGATACACTATCCGTCAAGATTACAACTTGTGGACTTCTGGTCTCCTATTGAGCGTACGTGACAGTACTACAATTGGTGATATCGTTTCAATATCATCTTTCGTGTGATCAAATTCACTAAGCATTTTCACAAATTTTCAGGAAAAATGAATCACATTGTACGCATCGCTAGACTTTGAAGTAGATGCGTTCCATATATGATTAGGTTTCATTGTTAGGCATGTTAGCTTGAATTTGTATGAAAATTCTGGAAGTAGGTTTGTGCGCTCATAAATATAAACTAAAAATAAGGAGGTCATGTATTTCCACCGATGTATGGAACGGAAAATTTGAACAGAACTTTACCGGGTTTATTGCTGTTTAGTTTACATTATGCTACATCTATTTCGGCTGAGAAGGTCGCGTCAGTGACATTATAACGCTGCCGATAACATGGTATTTACCTAATAAGTCCTCAACTGTTTTCATTTATAAATCTAATAAAAGTTTTTCCACTCCCCATGAAGTAGTCGTGGACTAGAAGGCATGAAAATGTAGGCTAGATGGATAGAAAGAAAGCACTATGTTAGGTTGCAGAAATTCTATACTAAAAATTCTACACTAAAAAATTGAAAAACAAGCCTAAGATGAAGATGATCCCGTCAAGTTCGCAACATATAAACCGCGAATAAGAGCCGCTTCCCTGTCACGACTACATATCCTAATGGTTCATTTTTGCTCCACGCCCTCTTTTGTGATTACAGCTCGTTAAAACTGCGGAATGCAATATTTGCAGTAGCTTTCATTGCGTTTCTAAAAGTGCCTTAATATACCCATTCTCACGGACTCATTTTTCGTAGTAGAATCAGTACAGGGAAGGTGGCTTAGCCCTGTGGTTTACTCTACCATTGAGCGCTCTACCTGGTTACAGATACTTAACAGAAATGTGACCTACGACACAATGTGTTACCTGGAGACTACCTGTATTCTTGCCACTGGGGGATTTCGTAACCCGGGCGACGAAATACCTTGGGAGCAGTACACGCAAAGGATAGGCTGGTGTGGTCTATGCGGCGTTATATGGCCATTTGAAGGATTGGGTACGATCATTTCAAGTCAGGAAAGCCGCCGATTATCATCCTTTCTCCACCAGCTTATCATCCAAATACTAGCTGGTAAAACGTGAGCAGAAATGTGGACTTCATTGCACGAATGGAAGTAAAGCCCTCATTCTCGTGGCTTGGTGACCACACTTGCCCGATCGAGTTCCTATAACGGACAATCCGCGACAGCGCAAAAGTAATTAACTCGTGGCGGGTACAGGGGTTAGTACTATAAATGCGTAGCTCATTTCATGTGAGTGACTTCGTGCATTCCCTGTGGAACATGTTGGATTCCATAGACTAACCCACAGTAAGTGCGTATACTGATTTATTGGGGTCTATCATGTTGTCAGAATGACCGTTCCGGTTCCATTGCTATAGGCTGGTGAGGATTTGTCAACTTACTGTTGCTTAAAACCCGTTCAGTGTTACGTCCTTCGTTCTTTCGAATAAATCCGTCAACCGATGCGTCACAGTAGGGATTTCTTCGCTTCCTTAAGATTTATCAGGCGTTATTGTTTACCACTTTGAGAAGTTGCGTGCTAATCGATCACTTGTGCACTCGTGGCTTTTTAACTGTGGTTCAGCGACATTTTGTCGCACACCTTTGGATCCATACTCCTTCGTCGTGGTTTTACTAGCTCTACTTTGTGAAACCAGTTTCCCGAATACACTCCAGTACATCCTACATTTACCCTGATTTCTAACTTCTGGGCGGTGTTTCGCCGATATCCACGTGACAAAAGTTGTCTAAATCCAAACGTCGGAGACATTGTTTGGTCTCACTCGATAGAACATTTCAACTGCTTTCGAACGAACTGTCACTCGTTCAAATCCAACATTGCTTGGTGCAGCTACAGGTCTCAAAGCAAATTCACCCGGCGCGATCCACAGGTTTAACCACGAAAATTCTTAATCACACCTTCGAGTATTTTGCCCCACGTTCAAGCCGACACGTTCAACTGGCACGCCAGAGAGGACAGCCTACAACTGCAACGTGAACACTGTGACCTTACCGATAACGTCAATAACAGAACGACCTTTAACCATAGAAGGTGAGTCATTCAAATGGTTCGTAACATTTGCTCAACAAGCGTGATGCCCGGCGTGCCACAGACTAATGACCTATGTGGATCATGTTAAGGGGGCATGTTAAGGGCATTTGTGCCGTAACTGTTGCAAGTTCTTCCATGCGAGATGCCTCCGAGTTAAACCTAGTCAGGGCAAGATATTAAACAAACCAGACTCGCTATGGTTCTGTGTGGGATGCCCAGCGATCCCACTGATAAAAAGCGTGCTCCCATTTTCTCAAAAGTATGACCCGCTACTAGCCCAATTTTAGGAAAAGGGGAGCCCCAAAATTAACTGGGTTGGGGGAAACCATACCAAACTTTGAACCCAATCCCTTCCCGTAAGTGGCTTTCCTAACCCTCCAAAAAATTGTAATAACAACCTTAAGAAACACACCTCTTGAATCCCAAACATCAAAAAGTTGCCCAAAAAAAAAACTTAGTTACAATTTGATTAAACGGTTCCCAATTTTTATCGAAGAAATTAAACTTAGGGCTATTCCAAACTTCCCGATGGCTTCCTTAAAAAAAGTGAATCCGGGTATTAGCGAAATTGGGGTACGGGTGCCTCCAAAAAAGGGTGTCCATTTAAAACAAACACCACCCCAAACGGAATAAAAAACTAAGAAGCGAAGGGAAGTTTCCTAATTGAAGGCACCACGGTTTCCCTGGGGACATTCTTCAAGTATTTAAGTAACAACCCGCAAATTGTCGCAAGTTTAAAAAAAAAACCCCCCTGACTTAACCTGGCTGTGCCCAATTTCCCAAGAATCAATTTCCACATCGATAAGAGGCGGGCAGTTGGATGACCTCAACCAGGGGGACATTATTAGTAACCTAATCCGAGTTGTATTGAAACCTGTACACGTAATGCGTATTACACGTCACCCCAACTCTAAACATTTCGGAGAAACAAGGCTTCTGCGTGTTGTTCTGAACTCCATCACTGAAAGAGAAACTATTACTCTGTCCACAGATTGTCTCAAAAAAGAACAATTCTCCCTCCGTATTTTTCCAGACCTTCCATGGGGCGAGCGCTATCGACTTAACCGCACCTGGGGGAACACCGGAAAGAAACTTCCACCAAAACCATTCTTCTCCACGGGGTTCCTGAAACTGAAGCATGTTAATAACAAGAAAAAAAAAATTAATAAAAAACAAAGTGGTGTTATATTTGTGAAACACTCTTCTTGGGATATGTTTTAGCGAAATCCGTGTCACGACTGCGCACCTCACAGATCTACAAAGAAAGTGGCGCGAGCTTGTTGAAGGTGCTCTATCTCTCAAAACATATGGTAGCGCGGGTGTTAAAAAGCTGGTACATGTTCTCTTGCACAATACCATCTGAGATGCGGCTGAAGACACACAGCCATATGCCTCATAGAGATCATATGTCTCACAAAAAAAACCACCCGAGTTTGTTTTAAAGAAAAAAAACCACCAGTGTGGTGCCCGAAAAGACCAAACAAACCGTAGAAAATTTTATTTAGCCAACACACTTTACACTTAGATGATTAGTTAAGACAGGGACTAAACGAACGAGGAATAAAAAGAAACTTTAACCCCTACCCAAAGTACAAAAAAAAAAACGGTTAGTCGTCGACCACTCACTGGTCGGCCAAAATTTACAAATGGGTTGTACAACTTCTGAAACATTGATTAAATCTGAGAAACTTTCATGTATGTTAACTAACGCCCAAGGGCTCCTCAATAAAATTACCGAACTTTGACTAAGTTAGGGTGCGAATGCTTGGGACCTAATTTCTATTACCCAAACTTGGTTAAAAAAAGAGGTGACTGATGGTTAGGGTTAGATAGCCGGAAAGTCACTCATAAGGAACGACCGCCCCAAGAAAGGAGGGGGGGTCCTACTCTACTACCGCAACGAACTACAAACTACAATTGTTTATGACCTGGAAAAACACATTACCGCCTCACTCTGGTGCCTCCTCCAAATAAAACACAACGCCACATGTCTCATAGCTATCTTTTACCCCCCCCCAACGACCACTCCGGAAATGGATGCTTGCTTGTTCCGTGGCCTAAACAAAGTAGCACGAACTAGGTAAAGACACATACTTCTCTCCGGGGACTTCAACATACACAATCTGGAGGTTATGGCATCATCAACTGAGCAGTTCAAAGCTGAGTTGCATGATCTGATCGCTACTATTCTTTTGTACTATCATGTCACCACACCAACTAGACTCAGGACAGCAAACAAACCATCTTTATTGTACCTTGTGCTCATGAATAAAGAACTCATGATTGATAAGTTATTGATGGATAGTCCATTAGTACGTAACAGACACTAAGTAATTACCACTTTATATTTTGTGTATTGTATAGATCCAACCTCTCAACACTAACTAATACATTAAAACACCACCCTCTACCGAATGAAAAAACCACCCGACCACGCTGGTTGGTAAGTATTCAAAAAAAAATCAACACATCACGGTTGGGGGGCATTAATAGATTAAACTAAAAGCTACACCAACCAAAAAACACCAAACACCCCCCTCCCTCCCACCGAAATTCCGTCCTATATTAGAAGTAGGACTCGAAGATGTCTGGCGATAAATGATGCAGCTTGTCGTGCCTACAACATGAATCCCGACTCAGCAAATTGGGCAAGTTCCCTGACCACTCGCAACCATTACTCTGAAGTTGTCCGTGAGGACAAAGTAACTAATCAACAGCGCCTAGCCAAAAAAAAACATCAAACACAAAAATAAGCTGTATAAAAATCTTTATAAAATGTTAAGTGAAATACGTAGACTCCCCCTACCTCTCGAGAGACAAAAGAGTGCATAAAAAGCAGCAAATGCCTAGCGACTTCTGTGCGCACAAAATCCCCATCTTTTAACTCACACCCCCTCTATATCTCCAAGAATATAACACACACCATAGACACTTTTTTTAAAATAAATGTTATAAACAATCCATAGTTTGTTATAAGGAATTCTCTCTCAGTGCGCGCGGATCGCTCAGAGCGTACACCACACGCCCCCGAGGACTCAGGGCAGTGTGCCACCAAAACGATTGTCACAACTCTCACAAAGCTCCTACGAGGGTTAATAAATGCAAAATATCTCCCAGTTGGGGGTAATGGTGCATTATCCCCCCTTTTTTTAACGGGGGCAGCCCTTCCGATCCATACTAACGTCCATCTACTCTCTACCCTGCCGTAGCTGAGGAAATGAAGGGAGCCGGCGCCGTTGATGGATTAAATGAACAACTGGAAAAAATCAATATCGTAGCACCAGGGCATGCATGCCTTCAACAAAGGCCGTACATCCCCACCCAACTTATTATTTGAAGGAGTGGGATGGAAGGAAAAGGAGATGGGGGGGGAGGGGATCTATTCAATCTTCTCGAATTCTTTCAATCCTTTCGCCCCCCTCATCCCACCCTACTTCCTTCACGGCTTCGGGATTGAAGGGACGGTACTTCCTTTGCTTGGTTGGTTTGGTACCTTCCTCAACCAACGAATCCTTAAAGTGGGAGTAGGGGATCACCTAACTAACATAATGTGGGATGTAGTAGGCGCCCCAGAGCGGCCAGGGTGGGGAACTTGTTTATTCTTGTTGTTAACAACCAACCTAAAATAATCAACTCCCCTAAATTTCCCCAATTCCGTCAAGACATGAAGGGCAGGGCGGGCAATAACAAACAAGCAAATGATCGACCCCAACATAATTTACTTTGATTTAATTAATGATGGGAAAAAAAGAAACTTCATTAAATCAAAGTTAAATGTGAGAAAATTGATCCACCTGACTAACAGCCCGGTGATGATTGGAAAGTAGACAACGTCCACGTTGGGGAAGGTTCGTAGGGGGGCGGGATTGGTGTGTTATGGTAGGAGGAGGTCTGGTGTACAAAAGAAGAGGAGAAGACGAGAAGAGCAATACAACAATATACTTCTCATCTGAGCCTTCGGTCGGTTTGAACCTTCAATATTTCCCCAAATGCTTAACGCCTACGTGCGACTGCAAGTGGAATATGCTATTCAGACGTGGCAGTCGAGGCAGAAACAGGATCTCGTTGCTCTCGAGACTCCTCAGCGAAGGGCCACCAAGAACATCAGGGACCTCTTTCATCTGCCCTATCAGCTTAGACTGAAATCTCTAAGAATGTACGGCAGTCGATATCGGTTTTTGCGGAGGGATCTCATAATGATTTACCAGATTCTGAAGAACTCAAACCACATTTGCTGTTCGCCGCTGGAACTGAACCACAACACTAAACTAAGAGGTCATCCTCTGGAACTGACAATTCAGTATAGCCGGCTTGAATGCCGTAGCAATTTCTTTTCTCTCCCCGTGTGCCAGCCTTGGAACGCCCTCCCTAATTATATCGTCTCTGCTCCCAATCTGGCGATATTTAAAAAAAGATTTGAAGATGCATTGTCTCACTTATATTTCATTTTATGACTTGTTAGCCAGGGGCCACAAAACGCAATCAAACGGTGTCTTGTCAAACGCCTAACCAATGGATTTGTGGATTTATACTTTTAATACGCGAACATCTCCGCTATTCCACATAAGTCCATAGTAAGTCCACCACAACGCTTTTCACTTTATTATGCAATTGATTTTCGCAATAATTTCTATCCCACGGGACTTGTTAAGCGATGCTTTTTTACCCGTAATAAACCATTGTTCCATTATTCCATTGTACTTTAAAAGACTGCCTCCGTTGCATCGAAATCAAACAGGATGGAACATACTTGCAGCGGGAACAGTTTCCTTGCGCTTATGTTCCATTCGCTTAGGTGGACTAGATATAAGTCTGAACTAGTTTTGTCAGTGGAAAACCACTATGGTCATCGCTGCCGTTTGTGAACAAATGAAGCGGAACCCTGACGGGTTAAATTAAGAAAAATACGCAGTTGTAATGGAGCAACTTACGAAAACATGGCGATGAGAAGATTGAACATGAGGATATTGGTAAGCAAGACATAAAATCCAAGCATTATCGGCACAAGCCATCGAGATGTCTTGGTGGGGCACATGTGATTTTGGCACGTGCGATCTGCAGGTATAGGGAGGGTAGACAAGAGAACAAAAGGTACACGTGCCACTTTGTCAACCAGAGGCTGAACACGCCATTACTGATATTAAGCATTAGTTGACGCCACTAAGCAAAACACGTGTATGACAGCTGCGTCCTTCTAATGGATTAGCTGAACGGAACGCGGCAGACACAGTCGATGCATTGGTAGAGTTCAAGAGGACAATTGTGATGAAATTGCTTTTCGATAAATCTCTTCAAGCGCGTACGATTAAGAAGTAGATAACCAAAACTTAGGAAGGGATATGACGAAATACGCACAAGTAAAAGAATGTCATGTGATAAGTGGAATAGTAAAATTGGGATATTATTATGTGCACTAATCAATCTCAGATTCAGAAAATTCACGATGGACTGGTAGCCCTGAAGCCGGCTAACTCCGTGAGGGCCATGGCAGTATTAGCACTTTCACGGGAGTTGTCTGCTTGCATGATTCTAGTTGTAGGCGCCTGATAGCAAGAGCCTTATTCATAGTCAGGTATGATCATTTGAGTCCGTTTGAGCATCACTTCGTGGCAAATGGGAGAAATTTAGATGAGACCTTAACCCGCCATTGACGTCCAGTGTTAATAAATTGCTCATAGATAGAACTATGGACACTCCCCTGAATTCCATGCTGTGAAGAAGCAGGACAGTGCTCTGCTATGCGTTTTGATAGAGGTCGGGTGGCGTCTCTGATATACCTAGCACTACAGTTGCAGATGAACTGATATAGTACAAAGATTCGTACTCAATCGTTAGTCTATTTGCAAGATGTTGCGTGATGATAGGAGATGACTGCAAGGATGTGATCTCAAAATCCGGAGAGGTTGCTTTTAGCACACGTAACAGCCTACTGGTAAGTTGCTCGAGGAGGTGCAACTGCATGTCATTGGTTCCGGGAGAGAGTGGATTTGCCTCTCATGGATCTCACAACAGTGATACAGTGCCGACTTTTCATCTTTTGCGAATGTTCCATTCTCAGCAGCAGAAAATTTGCATTACGGGAATAACCTGCATCATAGTATGCTTCACGGAAGAAAAATGGAGACAACAGCAAACCATCTGTTTACACGGAAACACGCAATGTCCCACCGCAGTAGTTATGATATGCGCAACTTTGTTTGCAAATTAGTGAGGTAATGAACAATGAACAATGATTTATCACGGGATAAAAGCAAGTGCTTGACACGTCCCGTAGGATGGTAGTGGTGAATATGAAATCAAAAATAGATATGGGTCATCTATCGAAAGTCTGCCGAGATGAATACTTTGATAATTAACATCAGTGTGAAATGGAAAAAAATTACCGTGCGTAAACGTTCAGAAAGACACTGCGGTGCAGTGATAGTTGAGGTAAGGAGTGAGAAAAGTAAAATATGGACGCTCACTTAGGTCATTTTGATACACAAGTCCTGTTGAAAACATGCTTGGCAAATCCACAATAGAGGATCATCATCATCATCATCATACACGTTAGCTAGAGGTGGGGAACACCTCAGCTACTGTGCCACAGTACAGAAAAAAAGGAGAGAGAAAAAAATGCAACTGGTGCAAGCTGGCTGAGCTACCGGTAACGGATGGGCATCGTTCCGGTAAACTACCAGCCGGCTGTTGTGCACCCAAAAAAATTATTATGCAAAATTATATAAGGCTGAATAATGAGATCGTGGTTGGAGGGGGAAAATAAGAAGGATGGGGTGGGACAAAGAAACTCACAGCACGAACGCCACTGAGGTCGGCTCCTTGCCATATCAGCAAGTGTGTCCAACCAAACGTGTTCATCGTATTTCGGACCCCAACCAGGGAGCCGAGACGCTCCAACTGAGGCCAGCTCAGAAGTGCGGGCCTTCATTCCTCTCGACCAAGTCATCGCTTGGCCACCCCTCCTCTTCTTCCATCCACACCCTCGGCGCGCAAACAACACAAGTCGCGGAAGTCGGTGGGCTGGCATGCGTAACACGTGGCAGAGCCATCGGAGCCTGGTGCGTGAAATAACGGTGCTGAGCGGTTCAGTTCCTTTTCCTGTACCATAAACAAGGATTCGAACACGCTCGTTGCTCACGCGGTGTTCCCACCAAATGTGAGCTAAATTATGAAGGTACCGGTGGTCGAACGTAACTAGCCTCTTCAGGTCTGCTGCTTTAAGCGGCCAGGTTTCACAACCGTACAGTAGGGTCGAACGTACTGCTGCATTGTACAATAGAGGAGCTTAAGTAATAAAATGTTGGGAGCTAAGAGCAACATCTAGTCGTTTTTTGAAAACATCCAAGGTAGGAGAGGATGCAACTGAGTCCGGGAATGCGTTCCAGGGTTGGCAAACCCTAAGGGAAAAGTAATTCCGTCGACACTCTGGACGGCTATATTGTTCCTATGCAGAGTTGCAGCTGATGACGCTTCTTTCAGAATGAGCAGAAAACGGCTTTGAAGTATTTGGACTTGCATCCATGTTCCCATCCCTTTGTTGTTGGCATGCTAATGCAAACTCAACACTGTTCAAGTTGGTTTCTCTTTTGCATCAAGGGCATGAGACTGCAGAACAGCAGGCTCAAATCAAGCGGGAACCATTTGACAATTGTAGGTTACATACGCTTAGACGCACTGGGATGATAGTTTAGAGCTGTGTTCCGAGCCACCAATGCTTCCAGATTGGAGAGTAAGCAAACGTTCGCATAAGCCATGTGTTCTGTTAGTAGATTATTTAGTAAAGGCAGACAAAGCACTATCTTGGCGTAGCAGAGCATCCGTTAAAACGAAACATTCTACCCAGACAATTCCAGTGACAAGAAACTAGTAATTTCATGACAGAATTATCCCTTGAGTTCAGAGTAACTGTGCAAAGATAATTTACCCATTTGACACATTTTATGGCCCAATAGTTTAAGCGACAAGCTGCTAGTTTATATCCTATTGTTATCACATCTCGGTGATTAAATGTGTAACTGGCAGGGTGTAGTGAGAAATCTCCCATTCTGTCGTCTCTGTACACATTCCACAAGGTAAATCCATTTGTAGTCAGTTACAGGAACTGAGCAATTTTAACCTGATTGAGGACGACGTAGATTTGTCTCGTCCAATGTCCAGGAATAAAAACATCGATTGATGTTTTGTGTAATCATGGCACAATCATGGCATTAGGTTGAGAGATTGAGTTGAGATACTGCGGTTTTCTAAACAAAGAGAAAGAATGTGAGGCGTCCAATTACGAGGGCAAACGAGGCCTTGTTAACGAGCAGACCAGGATGGATTTGGCCAAAACCTTCATGAACACTTAGTAGCAGCGGATAGTCTTACTTTTCATTTCTCTATCTGAGCAAAAACAAAAATAAATCATAATCTGACTGTTCGTCACACGAGCTTCAAGATCATATAATCCTACACTTGCAGTTTCATCCAGTTGGTATTTTCATCAGTAGTGTGTATAAATCGGATCTATCAGAATTGTAACACAACCATCAGCGGCTTGTATTGCCATCAGCAACACATGCAACTGGCGTACGGAGGAAAGTGTATTATCGTTATTATTTATAAGCTAGCTGCGATATAACGCGACTAATTCTCCGCTGCAATACAAGTTAAGAACGTTGCAGAGGACGGGATAGACCACGAAAGGGATGAGGTCCACTGAGACTAACTATCCACTACTTAACTATTATGGCGAACGGCGTCGGGCTGTCATGATGTACAAGCCAGCTATGACGAACCTCAATTAACTACATCAAAGATCACCTACCCATGAGCACATCAAAACATCCACCATAACATTTGCTAAAAATATGTCGTAAATAGCCCCTGTCAGCGTACGTCACATCTTACGGGCTAACACGAACCTCCTCAAGGTTTGTAATTTGCATGGCACTGGATGGGGTAAACCTTGACGTTCTCGTTGTACCCCGTTGCCAAGTGGCATAAGCGGCTGGCTGGCCGTTCATAGCCCTAGTAGTTTTGGCTTCGAATTCTGATATATCCAATGGAAGCGCCCTACTGATGATGCATAACAGGTTGAAAATGAAGTCTAGTGCTATTCCGAACATGTGGAGGACCATCAGATTTGGAAGCTGGTGTGACGAACTTTCAATTATTTAAAAACTCTCTTGGGTGTAGCTGTATATTAATAGTCTGTCTAAATATGTGTTCACATTTAGTGGACAATTCTGCTTCTTTAAATAATTGCCATATTGTTGTTATTAGGTAAGATTAACGCAAGAACTATATGACATTAATCTCTAATAATTTGTTCCATGCAAAACCATTCTAATGCATTTCATGACGCTATTTCCGCTACTAGGTTTCCGATACTATTTTATTATAAGCATAACGCCAGTTGCTGCACGGTCACTTTCAAAATATTGTTCAAGCATTTGAGGCAGTTGAAATAGAATCGAATTTAGGAGGACCAAAATTATGGGGATCCTAACACAGAAAATATACCCGTCTTTTAATCAAACCAGTTGGTCATAAATCGGCTACCTCTTTTGTTCACTGAAAAGTTCCACCGGGTAAAATGATCCGACACCGCACTCAAAAAACTAAAGAAAAAGCTACTAAAATTGCCACATAAATATTTTCGCTCAAGCCTTAGAGAGTGAATATAATAATTTTGATATTAAGAAAGTAATTCGACTTCTGAATCAACGTAAATTCGGCACTCAACCATAAAGTCTATACTTCACCTCGACCTCTGTTATTAAAGATGGAGCTCATTCATATGCAAGTAGAGGCAACACACAGTACACAATATTAACATTTACATGTATACAAACAAATGCGTATATAGATATCATTTAATATAAATTGTCTTGTGACGGTGCCAGTTGATATATTATTTAACTTCTACGTGCAAGTGTTCCTGTGGTCTAGACGTAAAAATCAGCTTTTGCAATGACCTGAAATCGTAACGTGTTGGATCTACGAGAACTGGCTTCATTGCTTTGTACAATGCATAAGGCCTAAAGGTGAGCAGAAGCGACTACACGTTAACGCTTTACCGATAGTCGGCTGACATGAAGTAGGTCTGAGCCCCCTGGTGGTTAACGTTAACTTACATAAATAGACCGCAGCAGTTGGCGTCATAGATGTGTACACACATGGCGTAGCTGCTGCTTTAACATGTGCACTAAAACTAAGTTTAATGAAAAATACTCTGATTGGGATAGGACTCCGTTACTTACCTTCACCTTGAAGAGCATCAAGACTGAAATCACCAAACATTTGAAAGTAGGCGGTTGTGTACATGGCAAAGATAATATCCGCGAATGTCATGTGTTTAATCTCTGAACCTGAAAGATGGATGAATTGGTAAGAATAGATCGTTAGCTAACGTTAGGGTCTTACAGACACTAGTATTAGCAACGCAGTTAGTAAAATTGTATTTATAAGGATGAATTACTCTAGTAGATTTGAAACGATTAACTAGGCGATGGTGGTAACTGGAGCTGTCATGGATAGGTTTGACCTTATCCCATTGAGGGCGGAGCTGTGGCAGCACACCTAAACTCCAAAAGGCACTGCAGTTACTTAAACGATCTGTCGTTTCATAATATGAGACTCACGTAATTACTGAAAAACCCAACTACAAGTCCTGAACAATAAGCAGATTTTGTAAAGTAGCGCTGAAATTTGATCCCCATCTATGGTCTACGTATGCCTTTAAAAACCGACCTATATTAGTGGAAAAGGAAATCTGAATATTTAAGCTGAGTACCAGGAGCAAATCAGAAAAATCTTCTCCCGCATCTAGTAAGTCAATGATAAGGCAATAAGAGTAGATGAAGATGGAAACATCTATTTATTACATTTGGAAATAACCAGTCGGTGTTTTGAAATCTTTGACAAAGCATGTGGTTGCTACATGAGTATGAATCTGGCTCACGGAGAACAAGCATTATGCTGTATAAGATTAAGATGTAGTCAAGCAAATGTCAGCGTTGAGAAATCTCTTCAAGTGACTATAATTCACTCTCACTCTACCTCTTCACGGTGGTGAGCAACCCGATGATAGTGACTGTGAATGTCTGAATGGATGAGCCTGGATCAGGTGTCACTAAATTCGACTCTTAAGCCGAATCCGGACTACTTCATCCGGCTCGTCAACTGTATCCGAATTTGCTTGCTAAAGCGTATAGAATACGAAACGTTATGATACGATGTAAATTTGACACGACACGTATTGTTGTCTGTGACCTTATACTGTTGGAATACTATCGTCAGATAGCTCGTTGTCGCTACATGTGACGCCGTAATGTCGTGCGATTTGTGACCCCATTTCGTTATAACATTGAGGTGAAAGATCACACATGAAACCCATTCATCCGTGCACCAAAATGTGTTACTGTTTAGCTCAAAACCATACACCGCAATTTTCCGTTGCTTAGCTCGCACGAAGCGAATGTCATATAAAACCGCTTATTAATACGCCATTTCTTACTATTTGTGTGATTTCGAGGACATATTTGCCAGGTAGTTGAAATGAATTGCAAAATGTTAACAAGAAATTGCACTGACACTCAAATATCGATGTTTGTACATTTTGTTATACGTACACAGGTGTAAGTAGCACTGGTATGCAGTTGAAACACAGTTTATTTATTTAGCCCCAGTAAAAAGGCTTTGCTCAATTTTCCCGATCGCGTTGTTGCTTCTATATATATTTACATTAAAAATTATTGGCAGTCTTGGTAACAAATTTTATTACCAAATGTGTCAATAAATTTTAAACCTATATATGGTGAGCGGTTATTGCACAAATGATGAATGGTTCTCTGTATTTGTTTTAATAGAATTACTCGCAAGCTTTTTTCAATATCTACTATACGTTCGGATCCATTTTCTTTCGACCTTCACCAATACTTCAATGAAAAGAAAAGCGAACACCGAATGTTGCCTTTTCTTCGTCTTTTACATTAGTTTTCGTCCTGGTTAACAACTATTTTGTACAATGTTACGCGGCTCACACTGAGCATTTAGTCAATTAGCTGGCCAGCATTCGTCATTTTTCCGTTTATACGGCCCGTGCTACTCATTTTTAAAAATAATTTTCCGGCCCACTGTGAAAACGTCGTTTGGTGACCACTAGTCTAAAGCGTGTAGCCTCCTTGATTTGCTTCCATTTTTAAATACAATATATGGTCAAGTCCAAAAGTGTCAGATAGGGTTCCTCAGTGGGCTTCTGATTATCATGTCTCTTGGAATATTGGGTAGGTATACTTGCAGGTACTGCAGACGATTCAGACTCAGATGGGGAATAGTGCAGGTTTTTTAGAGTACTATGAAACAACATGACGTGTGAACTGTGAAGGCGACAATGCATGTGGTAAACAATATCACATGTCATCTTGTGGAATATTTGTAGTTTGTGTCATTAAACGTCAAATTATTAACGGGCTGTTTTGCCTGCTACTACTAGCCGATAGTCTCCAATGCCGAAGAATTGTTTCGGATCTTGTAATCTACATGTTTATTAATAGTTTGGAGTGAACGTCTAAGGTGGTTTGCTCTGATTAGTTTTTGGTTGGAAGTTGCAAAAATAGCGAAAGATCCATCCTACACTGTCCGTAAAGTGTGCGAATAACCGGCGCAAAGCTTGAACCGCCCGAAGTAATCATTATCTTATTTTGCAGATCGCAGTACGGAACTGAGTTCTAAGCTGTGCAAACATTCCTCGATATTTGCCTGTTTCAAGGCAACAGGTGTAGGTTGATTCATATTGTAAGCAGAGTCACATAAGCATGTTGTAATTTATGTCAAATCCGTTGATCCGCAGTAGTGCGTATAAAGAGCCTCACTGACAAGATTCTTGGGATGCAGAATGAGTTATTACGCAACTTACCAAGCGTCATGTTTTCTTTTGTAAACAAACCGTTTGGGTAAGCTATAGACTGTGCAGCCACTGCGTATCCTACCATAATGACTGTCAAAATAATCATGAAGGGAATGAGATCGTTGGTTACCTAAAAATGAGAGAAATCGGAAAGATGTATTCCGTGCTTTAAAGAGACGAATGATACTTTTGTCAGTCGCTAAACATTTTTAAATATCATAACATCATGACAGCTACATTATGAGCGCTATGGATTCCGTCAAAAGTAACAACATTCATTCGTTTGGGTAATGGGTAATGGGGTAATGGGCGGTCAGATATACAACGGATGCGTATTATCGTAGGGTTATTTTCTGGTTTTGATCTGTATGACTTTACAGAAGGATCTCTAAAAATGCTGCTCCGTAGGTGACGATAAGTGAGGCGGCGCAATGTGTGGTAAAACGAACACAACTAATGCCAACACAGAAGTTAGTACGTTCAAACATCAAAAACAGCCGTGGAATCCCTGATACCTAATTATGCAGCCTACAATAGAGATGACCATCCATAGTTATGGAGAATTAATAAGGATTAGGTGCACAGGTAAACAATGACACTACTGTTGTATTTCATCATGAAATCTGAGTATCCATTGGAATTTATTCAATTACTCCCGATTTGTTAATTCCATCCAACTTGATAGCACATAATTTAACGGTCGATTTCTCATGTATGCATAAACCATCGACCTAAGATGTGCTATCAGTCACTATGTCACTTTGACGTTGACAAAATTTTCACGTTCTATCCTTGCCGCTAAGAAGAGTTGCAGTACAAACAAATAGAGTAAAATCGCAAAACTTTCCGGTCTTCTTGAGCCAGAGGTGAAAGAGCTAACTTGTAGGATAGATTATGTACGTAATCTAACCTAGTCTGATCTCAGAGTACTAGTGCAAGATGACCTTGGTTGTTTAAGGCAGACTGAGAAGACAACAAATAAAGCAATCCAGCACTCCAGTCTCATGAGTAGAGCCTACGAAAAGTTTGACGCCTATCTTTCCGCAAGCTCTTAGCGTGTATGCGAGGTTGCATACGGAAGACACTATCTAAGCGTGGCAACCCTGGCATAAGCACTACCACACTGCTTTAGGTACTGCACAACGCATGTTTCCATGGTGCATGTTTTGATGCTAGATGGAACACATCGTCCGCGACATTCAACCCGGTTTTCCTCGTCTAACATCAATCTTCCTGCATCTAGCCCTGATGGGTTCTGTTATGCCCCAATATATTGACAAGCTAGGATTCATCGTCTCCTTAAAACACGTTAAAGATATTCCTATTAAGGTGTATGAAACCTATTTTTGACTCAAACTTTGGTTCAGTACTATGCGAGCGATGTCAGCACACCGAATTTGAGGAAGCCAACAGCCACATAATCAACCATACAACTGTCTGCACAAACCTATGATGGTCAGCAACAATCCCCAACTTTTGACATTCATGGTTATCCGATACAATTCATGACACATTAGCTGCGTTTTTACTGTTAACTGGGACTACTACTCAAATGTCTGTTTTTTGGCTTAGCCCAAATCTGCAATTCAGTAGTTCTGCCACACAGAATTCTAATGCACTGAACATTTTTACCGCTGTACACACAGTTCAAAGGGTGAATTTGCGCTGCTTGCTGACGGCGATTCACTACGACCAAACGTACGAGCACCTGGTTAATACACATCAATAAGCGCAGTACGCTTGTTTAGCAATCAGCTAGTGAGTGGTTTAAACAAAAATAATGTGCGATTGACCTACATTCAAACTGGTATCTGGTCAACCTAATCGAGCTATTCAAGCAAAACGATCCAAACAAAAATATCCAAAGCTTAAGTTTTGCTGAAAATAACCACAGTGGCCTTATCAAGTAATAAGCTGCAACAGCTCGGAAAGACAAGCAGCAATTTACAAACATTATCCAAGCGAAAATCGCCGTCCTTCTCTAATTCGAAAAGCAATTTGTTATGGTTGACACAACTTCAGCTGACCAACTTCAATAACATAAGTTCGCCTGTACAAATTCACAAGCGGCTTAGTTGCAAATGTGGGAGGAACAACTTGAGCGAACTGGCAGTAAGGTCTAAACATTCTACATCATCTGATACGGTTGACAGCTCTGATTTCCCGCTGCTATGCTACACATTTTCATGTGGAAGACACGCCAATTCGGGTCACCGAATGTGGTCCTCGCATGCATTCCGATCCTTGGTGTAGAGGACAGTAATTGTGAAGTTTTCTGTTCTCTCTGCTTTTTGGTAAGTAAACAAGATGTGTAAAATGGATCCTCCGGATATGTTCACGCACACAGATGTGTTAAGTTAACCTGAATGAAATGAATCGTGATATTATCGCATGCAATCCGTTTGTTCTTCGCTAGCGGGAACTCTTAAACAAAGTGATAGGCAGCAATGGAATCAAGCAAACTGAATACGGACTACTGGAATGAGGCGGAGAACAATAAAGTCTCGCACTTTTAGACAGAAAAGGGACATAACGACGGCTCTCTAGGCGCGAACTATTTTTGTCTACTGCATAGGTTGCTCGACGAAGCCGTCTAATCAGCTGCCCATCAAGAAATCTCTTTATATTATACACAGTAATATTAGCTGCACATCGGATACATCCTATTCGCAGGACCTAAGCTAGATTACAGAGACAAACCACTCTTGTCACGTGCCTTTACATGAAACAGCTGTGAGTTCGTGGACTATGGATTACCGGTTATCATTGCTAGTAAATAAAATATGAAAAGCTTGTACTGGTAAGTTTGCGATCAATATTATTGCAACAAAATAATCATGCGTCAACATAAAGGAGCAAATACCGAATACTCTAACGAATTAGCAAGGCTATATTTGTGAAGTGTATCTAAAACCTCAAGTTCAATGACCAACTATGCTTACCAGCCTTCCTTATGTCATTAAAGTGCTTGTTCAGAAAATTTTGAATTCCGAGAATCACCAAGTTTTCTTCACTTACGAAACCAAATTGTACCATCTAAACACCACTCTCCGTTCGACACAGTTGGTGAACGAAGGACGACTGGGATCAGAACTATTGGCCTGCTTAAGTACTTAAAAATGTGTATCCTCGCTTGCCGAGAGCAATATGCAATGGCATTTGTCAATTTCCCTCTTCAGTTATCAAAACGTATGAGTGCGAACTACAACGCACCTTCTATCCCCATTGGCCGATTAAACCTCACAATCTTGAGAGAAGAGTTTATGATGCTCTATGCACGTGGTTGCTGCCTTCAGTGTTATGTGCAGCTGCCGGTAGATTAAACCCTGAGTAGCTTACCCCCAGTAAAACTTGGTACCCCACAATCAGACATAAAGCAGGTTAGCAGGCTAACACAGGTTTCTAAACTCTTAGTCGACGGACTGCGACAATTGTATGGTAGTCTTCATGTTTGCTGGATGCATGTCAGGTACAGAGGTCACAAGTTTTGTGGGAGTGTTCCAAGCCCCGCATATTACTATGTATAGACCAGTGTTATAGATTTAAAATGTGGGCTTTAGTAATAACACAATTTTACTGCGAATCTGTTTTGGTATTTGACTGTGATTGTGTGAGGCCGGAATATCAAAGTGCAACTCGGTGAAAGCGATTTTCACTACAATTTTTCAGGTCAATATTCCCGAGACGAAAAGTACAATAGGGAGAAGCTTTCCATTATGGATGTTACACACTGAACAGAATGTGTTCTGGTATAGTAAATAATACTTTCACATTTGGATCATATATTTTACTCTTGTCAGGAGGGGCTTTCAAGTTTAGTGCCATTGAAATGACAATATATTTCGAAATCAAAACACAGAGGGACAACAGATAAATGACTTATTTTATTCCACCAAATGACCTACTAAGATTTGAGAACTGATGTTATTCTTGTCATTCTTTTATTCGTTTGTGCAACCGTGTAGATGTGCCACCAGAATCGTTCTTTTTGGTGGTACGTTCTACAAATCACGGAAATACCTTGGTTCCTAAAAAGCGCTAATTTGCTGCAGCAGTGCTGTGTCCCGCAACCTTTTTACAAAAATTGTCCCTATGGATGACGAAACAGGTAGAGTGCTTTGCGCCTCAAGCAAACACAGGCAATGATCTACGTTGTACCGCACGGTATCAAACTGATCGGCTTTCTGTCAGGACTTCTAACCGCCGCAATTGAATCCAACGTGAATCGAGTAGAATTGGCTCTAGACAAAGGCTGTCTCTCTTTCCTGCCCGGGACAAAGGTCTACTTATTTGATGCTTGCGTTATGAAATGTCAGTAATCCGTTTAGGATAAAATGTAGGCAGAAGTAGTACATTTCCATCAAGTTAACCTAAAGACGGACTGCTGTAATTCACCAACTGACCTAGCTAAATTCTGGGGCAAGAATAGAAATTACCCACGGTAGGTTAAATTTCCCTTTCAGCGAAGCGAGTATGCGAATTCTAAAATTACCGGGGCTTCTGTCGCTGAGGTCAATCGTTGTATCAACCACAGATTGTGGACCATATTTGTAGTTGAAATACACCATGCAGCGCCTGAAGTGTTTGGATAGGCATCTGTGATCTTAGGCACCTCATGTGAATGGATCCGAAGTATTGTTTGACTGCGCATTCCACCTACGGTTGATAAGCACGCTTCACCAGGAGGTACCAGGTGTACGTTTTAACATCATCAATCGCAATTATGAGAACACTTACGGTTATTTATGTTATGAAGTTTTCTTTGACTGGAGCACCTTCTCTATGTACCGAAGTGGCTGACAATAACAAAACAATCGATGTGATCCGGATGCTCTCCATTCACTTTCCATCACGGCCATGGACCATGGTTAAAAGGTTGCGCTTACTACCGGTGGAATTAAGTAGATTACTTCAATGGTATAACAATAAGGACTTTTCACAAAGAAAATAAAAGTGTGTGGGCATTCTCGAATCAGTTACGACTATCCTTACGCCAGTGCAGCTGGGTGTTAATCACAAAGTGCAGGGAGGCAATGTCTGTATATTGAGTATCAAAGACCACACTACAAAACTGTGGCTGTAGAGGATTTCTTATCTTAAATGCATGTATTGAAAATGAGCATGACTGCAGCATGACTGTAGTGCTGGAGCTGGATTCTCCTGTATAAGTATTTGTGTTATCACTATCCAGACTCTGGCAGTTTGGAACAATTATCTCAGCTGGTAATTCAAGGGATAAGGTAGGACGAAGATTACCGATTCCTAATGGATGATATTTATGCATTTTTGACACATTTCACCGGAGTTGTGCGCTAAGCATACACATAATATTTACATGTATTTCCGGAGTATTATTTAATTTTTCCAATAATCATTAACTATTCACAGAAGTGATCCATTATTCATTCAATGACTCCAGCTGAGTACTTGCAACTTGATGGCTTGTTACACGGTTACTTATTTACCAATACCTTCGAAATTATCAAGCTCTGTCTCACTAACCGTACTTGATCACCGGAATGACAAGTCTAACAAATGCATCAATCACGCCAGTGTCATTCGCACATAACCCTGCCAACACGCAGATGTTGCACAAGTGTCCTGGTAGCCTATCCTGATTGTCTTTGTAAGCCGCAAACTGCACCGTTGTGAGGACCTCGAATGGTTGCCATTTAAGCCATTATGATCACATTGAGTTCCCAAAATACTTCTTGCAAGATCCTACCTACTTGTGAGAAATTTCAGGCCTTTATCAAATTGCGCCGTTACTGTTCCGACAAAAACTTCATATATATATATATATATATATATATATATAGTTTCCCTGTCCAAGAGACCCTCCTATTCAACATCCCCCGGTAACAAGAGTACTTCTCCTAATATAATAACCTATCATGTGCATGCCATAAATGCACCTGCCTGTGTCCTAGATGCCAGGATTGTCCTGTCACGGCGCCTCCAGAGGACAGTCACAGGACGCCTCAGTCACAGGCGGGAAATAGGTGGCTTGCGCTGTACCACACACAGCTCCATCCACACACCATATATCCAGTGTGAAGCCGAAGGAAGAAGACCGGGAGGTATGTGGATTGAAGCTGCGTGTTATCAACGGAGCCAGCCCAACATGCTCATCATCAGCAGTTCTATTTTATTTGTATAAAATGTGTACACAAGGTAGAGGCTGAGCTGTAGACCACTCCACACTGGATGGAACCAACCTTGAGCCCAGCACGGCCACGAAGACCACGCTGCCCAAACTCCCAGAAACCATTAGACTTCTCCTGGAGTCATTAATCAAGTTTGTGGATGTTAAATAAGTAGGCACATTCTCAGCATTTATATCAAGCGCATCTACACCGTGGATGTCAAAAAACCAACACGGCACTTGAAGTAAATAAGCACGCAAACTGACACTGAATATGCAGCAGAATGACATAACTGTGCAAAGCAAATAAAATGAAATAATTCGGACAATTCATCATGCGCACTCTCAGTCAGCAGTCTTAAGCTAGTCTGTAAATGCGCCAGGCAACGGTATTTCGACCGTCTGGCTCTCGTCAGTGGTGCATCATCAGCAAAGCCGTGGTGAGTTCCGCCCTCACGACTTCCGGATGCCAGCAGTTAGTACCGATTCGCCATAGGTGTCGACCGCGGACAAATGACTTTGATATGGCCCGACTCATCTTCGATTGCTATGTCAGTTACGAACTGTGCAGGGGACAGCAGCTAAGCCCACGAGCCAGGAATTTCCACACACCGCCTTTGCACGGCACAATGACATAGAAGCTACACGCACCAGTGATGAAAACCCAGAAGGTGAAAACAACAATGGCTGGTGCTTTTCAAGTCGAGCCTAAGTCTGATGACTAAGAGTGACCATGATGAATTATTTGAATTATAGCAACATCCCTAATTCCCATTAGCACATTGGAATACGCTTCATTCAGGCTAAAAATATGTTTATCTTTAGCATTATTCGGTGTATCCCAACTGCGATCAAGTTGCAAGTTGTAAGCAAACTAAATCTAAGTGTGAGGCACAAACAGTCCTAAAATCTTACTACTTATAAAACGCTGGAGGAAATCACTAGATGAATCAAACTAAAATCTCTGAAAAACGCATTAGAATTTCTACCCTGCGCTAATTTGCTAATTTGCTAACAAGTATTAACTTAGACGAATTAATCACAGTTTTTAAATTTACCTGATACTTTTAAGTAAATGAACCGGGAATTTCCTGTTTAGCTTAGATGCAAGTGTATGGCTGCCGCATTAATCTTTCCTCTGTGCTATTTCTTTCGATCCCCTAATCCTAGACAAATGTAGTAAATCTTTCGTTAGACACTTGCGTCCCGGGTTTGCTGTAGTCACTGTGTTCTTTTTTACTGTAATTTCTTAATTACCTAGATTCGCAAGCTGGTAGGAAAAAGTGGGTGAGGATTGTTGATGAAGAACAGAAGTTATTCATCTATGTATTTACGCGCTCAAAGTAGCGACTAAAATAACTACAAAATCTAGCCAAGTTAGAAAGTCAAACTTCGATCATATTTATAAAGAGGTAAAGTTTCATATGTCATTGGTAGCAATGTTAGCATCGTATTCTTAACAACAAATGTCGTTGTTGCAGTTTGAAGAAAGAAAATAGGCTTTTCTTACTCCGCCTTTCAAGAAATCTAACGACGTGAAACCCGAAAGACCTGACTCATTATTCAATGAAGATGTTTCCGTTGAGCGTACTTTTTCTGATTAGCATACTCTCATTACTAATTTGCACCTTTCTATTTGAGGCTAAAAGTCACCTAGGGCAGAATGACTCAGAGAAATGACGAGTGAATCATGTGTCCGTATGCGTGTAATACAAAAGGAAGATAAATATCGCCCGCTTGGAAATTTCGGTTATATTCATTGCACCCAATTAAGGAAAGCAACCGTGCATTCAAGTAGTTTTACTCGCAATCATAATTAAATATCATGGTATGAACGTCAACAGATCAGTTCAACATTTTTGAACAGGTGAATATTACTTCACTAAGAAGACTGAACACAAATAGATGGTGCATTTAAGCACCAGAACTATGTACGCGGTATTGTATGGTTGTTCGTAACCGTTGGAACATTAAGCATGTAACATCAAAAGATTGTTGTTCTCCCCAGTTAAATACTCAATCTGAGATTTACGCATGATATATTCCGTGTACTCTAAACCAAACTACAGGCTGCGTGGATCAATAGGTAAAGAATGTTGGAGCAGACGCCCAAACTTTCGCGGCGCAAGCCAGTAAAATGCCGATACATTGCCCATTATAATATAGTCGGTGAACCAAAGAGCTGAATATGCTTGCATGTTGAGGATGCGGGAATCACAACCGGTTGGACCTAACTTAGACACACAGCGTTCTCTCATATAAGAGCAAGTCGAAATAGCCCGCATAAAGGCAAACGAAAAACAACATAGCTAATAACAATGGACTAAGGAATCATGGAAAATTGATTAAAAATTTTAATGGGAATGGACACATCTGCATTTGCCATTCCAATTTATGTGTATTTTAAGTGACCGGGCACAACGATTAGTAGAAAAAACACCATGAAATATAGTGTTCCATCAATAATTGAAATACAAAGAATTCATAATTTCACTAGTGCGAAATTCCATTGGATGATTAAAAGTCGATGCAAGCGAATATATGTTTTCAATAATTTCTCCACAGGCTTGTAAGATTATATGTGGAAAAATATAAAATTTTTGACACATTTTTCCAAGAGTGGTAAATGAAATGCGTTGCCGGCGAGTCACATTCGTTTGACATATTCCTCCAATGCTTCTAGGTATATTTGTGAGACTGTATATTTGGAAGCTGACCGCAAAGTAACCTCGATCGTATGGCGTCAAAATGCTGCCAGTTCTCCTCAAGAACGGTTCCTCGGTTGTTGAAGAAAATTTGTCCTAACTTTGGAATAGTCCCATGATACTCCCGGTGATGAAGTTTTACATGCCGCTGAATTAGTCATTATTGATTTATTGCAATTGGTCGGTCTCTTCTAGTATTGTCCGCTGACTCGCTGTGCACCATGAGATTTCCGAGAGCAATTTTCTTTGGGTGGATCTAGGTTTGTTCTAACTAAGGACATTTGATCAGCGATGCTGTTAGCTATACCAATTTGATTATATTACCGCAGTGATCATTTACCTTGTTAGAACCGAACACGTGAGCAACAGAAACAGGAAATTAATTAGTAAAACCTCATCACATATGTATATAATGTTGGTCGCACTGTTTACCAGCACAAAGAAGAAGGTACACATAATATATATCATGAACAACACGTCGAGATTGGTAAGTTTAACTATTTCACCTACCATATGTTCTTGTTATTAAATTATGTACACTAATGTAGTAGGAATATTGGCTCATAGTGAATTCAGAAGCAACATAATGAAATTGAACAAGGTGGGTGACTTGCAACGCCCACGATTTCGACCGGTTTTGGAATCTGTGGATATTCTACCCGTGCTACTAGGATCTCCTTTTCTCAAATTAAGAGTATTGGACCTGCGTAGCACCTCGTTAAGATAGAACATTAGTGTTTGTAAAATAAGTCTACTGTTTTGAATCTTTACTCCTTGTAACACTGTAAATGATAACAGTGGACCTCATTGACATGGTTTTCTACACAATCCTTCTATTCTCTGTTCAAACTTGGCTTTCCGGTTCAAACTTGGCGGCTGCAAATACTTTTGCTTTCATCGAGAACGTTTACATTTCAAGTATTTGCTTTGTCCGAAGCAGGTTTAGAAAATCATTAACTAGCCAATGTCTGTTGGTCACAAAATTGAACTCCTAGGTCTTCATTATAAGCATTCAGATGAACAACAATGTAAACTCACCATTTTGCCGATCATAATCAGTTTGGGTCCAAGAGCAATGTTGAAACTGAATGTGTACATTAACCTGATATAGAAGACGAACAGACTGATTGCCAAACAAATTCGTGACACATCCAAAAATGGGTCAGTCACTATGTAGAATCGCTCGTGCAGTGAGTCCAACTGCTTCGTGTTACCAATTCGTACTAGTACATAAAGACGCAAGGCGAATCCGATGATAAACAATCCTAATCCGGTGCAGTCCAACTTATTCCATCCGTCGGATATGTACGTAGAAAAACTGATACCAGAGAGAACAGCCTAGAAATGGAGACAAGACGCATAACTAAAGCATACGGAGCGCATGACAAGAGAAATTATGGTAATTGAATTTGCTAAAGTTGAAAGTTTATAATGAATTACATTGGTATAGGAATAATGAAATTTTCGATTTGGCAACTTGCACGCGATGTTTAGCAACAATATTTCCGTGTAGTGGTAATGAATGTGTGAAGTGGAATTCGGCATGAACAACTACCATTGACTGCAAAGAGATACTTACCGAAATGTACAGTTACCGCCGACATCACTAAATCATCAAAGTCTAGCCAAAATGTACCTAGAAGATTTAGACTGATGTCTGAAAATCGAGCAGGCCTGTAGATGGATGCAAGATCTGTGCTATCCTTTTCCCCTGCGACAATTGTTGACGAGTTACAGTTTGGGTCGGAGATATTGCGCATCACGAGAGAAAAATCATTTCTTTACTTGCACATTTACGCGGGCCGTTTAAAAGATATTACGGCACATTGTAAAATAACTTGCTGAATATGTTTTTCCGTAAGTAACGCTTGGAGTCTGCCTTGTCTCCTAAGCTAGTTTCCTTATCGAGGTTTTGTAATGCAAGCACAAGCCCAATGCAGTGTATCATGGAGTTCTTTAATCGGGCCTCGTCTTCACCTCGTTTTATCAAATGCTTAAACTTATTCCAATCCAGCGTTTCTCAAGGAGGCTGTGAAAGAATTTGTTAGCTTTGTTTAGCTTTGTTCAGATTCAGTAAGCACGTTCCAGTCACTGGCCATTGCTTGTGAGCTTGTCAGCAAGTGCGTCTGCACAACACATCACATCGACCGCGCGACCACGCCGACCGCTCGGTTGACCTTGAAACCCGTAAGCTCGCCTGACCGATGTACGCCGCACTCAAAGCTGGAAAAGTGCAGAACGCCAACCACCGCAGTGGGTCAAGTAACGACACTGCGTTGAATGGCTGCAATGCAAATCCGAAAAGGCTCCAACAAAATTCATTTGCGGGTTAAACATATGCAAGCTGTAGGTAGAAATTCGTCACATCTAGACTCACTCAGACAGCCGCCACACGCCCTGAAAAGCGCTGTACGCGAGTTTCACCCTTTCGGGAATCATCAGCAGTGCGCATTCCATCGGACCCGCAACTCGACTGTTGCCAGTCCGTGGTTCAGACCACTGAGCTACGGGGAACGGCAACGGCCATCGCGAATAAGTTACCAGATGTGATAAAGCTGGTAGTTAATATAGGTTTGGCTTGCTTGCACTGTTTGGAACGGTATCATCCGGAATGTGCTAACGTGTCCAAACAACAGCTCCGAGAGCGAAATAGCTCACAAGATGCGCTTTCGTTCTTTACTGCGTGCTCGACTATCACACTGTTTAGTAGCTTCATTATTATAGTCCTAAAGCACGACGGGTTAACCACAGACGCCGAAAAGTGGATGGAGGATAAGAGGACTTCAAAGGAAGCTGGTAGACACCAGGGAGGCATAGCGGCTTCTAAGCAACAGAATGCTGCACATTCTGCTTCCCTTACATCACAAGCAGCCACGTCCTCAGCTCCGTTGTCTTCTCTAACATTTGCAGTACGCCGGGCGAATACTGACGGTACCTATGAGAGTCAGCGAATACTCATGGCGACGAAAATTCGACACCACTCGAAACGTCCGGTTAAGCATATTCCACCTGAAGCGACAAGTGCACCGTCGATGATAGAGCAGTTTAACTTGACCGCCGCTGTAATCGACCCCGACATAGCTCTAAACAAAGACTGGCATGCACTTTGGCCGAAGCAAGTTTCAGACGCGTTATACTAATCCCATGAAAAAATATTGCTTTCTACCCATCGGTCGGAATATTCCTACAATGCCCTCTACGCATTCGTGGGCTTCTAGAGACTAACTAATCTGTTTTTATACAAAAGACCAGCGCCTTTTTAATAAACTGGCCGAACTGAAAGATCTCTGAGTTTCCGGGTCATATGATGTCAGTACTATCACCGTGACGTGGTTGCACACGGGAACGATGGACGCTGAAGTTTCGCCACCGGGCACGTCGCTGATCCGGAAATATAGTCTTACAAAACGTCGGGCTGTTGAGGCGGGCGTTTGGACAAATAAACAGCTTCATATTTCGACAAATGCTCAGTGCGTATGTTCGCCCCCATGTCGAATATGCAATTCAAGCCTGGCATCCATGGATGAAACACGATCTTAATGCAGTGGAGCAGCCTCAACGCCGGGCATCTAAGAACGTAATTGGAATGCGCAATCTTTCCTACCAGGAGAGGCTGCGACGACTAGGATTTTCAGTGGAAGCTATCGCAGACTACGAAGCGACCTGGTTATGGCATACTTGATTCTGCGAGACCCACATCATGTGTGCCACCCTTGACTGCAACTCAGCAGCAATACAAACCTGAGGGGCCACTCATTAAAACTCGCAGAACAATGCAGTCGACTGGAGTGCCGCAGAAATTTCTTTTCCATTCGTGTCTGTCACCCGTGGAATGCTCTCCCAGAATCGGTCGTCTCTGCACCAACACTAACAGTATTTAAAAGGCGGTTGGACGAAGCACTCATCCACTTCCACTTTGTTACTTAACACAACGTCTCCATCCTACACCTGGAGTTTACCATGGAATTATTTGTTGTTAACTGTGGATGCTGTGAATCTAAGAGGACCGCAGGACTGCAGCGAAGCAAACGATAAGTCCTTATTTTCATATTTAAAGTATTAACTATTTTACTATCATTATCATTATTATTGTTATGTTGATATCCCCTGCAACTATCCAACGGGACTTTTAAAGCAACGCTTCTTAACCCGTATAAATTTACAGTTCATTGTCAAAAAGGAGGAGGGTTTATCTAGTATTACCAAAGCGACTTATATTGCGAAGTCGTGGGGGATTCAGTCTCACTGCTCGTCGACTTGATTGGGTGAGGCTTGCTGTTACAAGGCAGAGGTGCTTGATTATTTTCTTGGTGTACCGTCCCAATAATTCTACACCGAAACCGAATGCCACCTAGCGGGTGCATTAAGGTGCAGTTTATAGCAATAGTACGCTCCATAATTATCATGGGTGATTTCAAGGTACGTTGTTAAGAAACTCATGCCAAGATCTGGGAGAAATTCAAAGCTGATCTACAAGATCTCGTAAGTATTGTTCCGCTTTACAATCACATCACACTGCCTAATCGATTCAGAACAAGCAACAGGCCATCTGTGCTGGATCTTGTGTTTATCAATGAGAAGCATCTGATTGATGTGTTGCTTGTATACTGTCCACTGGGTTGCAGTGATCACGCAGTCATCAGCTTCAACTTCGTCTGCTATGCGGAATATTGGAATGAGAACGAGGAGACTGTAGGAATCACAATAAGCTACGATCGATTAGCTTAGCACCTCAGCGCTACAACTTGGTCGTGCGTTGTCGAAGAACCACGAGACTCACGTACCTTAAATTTTTTAAAAAAATTCAGTAAGGGGATTGAAGAGGCTTCAGAGATAAGCCTTCGCTAGAGGCGTAATTCATTTTCTTGCTTTAGGAGCAGAACTCGAAAATGGATGACAGTACGCAAAACAGCATGGCGAGTGTACGGAGGAGCTGCAGCTACAGCTGCTAAGAAAAGACAAAGCAGCATATCATCAGAACATCGCAAAAACCTTCAGTGCCAACCACAAACTGCTGTACAAGCACGTCAATAGCCTATGAAATGTAAGGCAAGCTCTCCCTTATCTCAGGAGGGCCGGCGGCTCAACAATAACGGCTGTGGGAGCAACAAACGCCCTGCTGATGCTATGTGCCGCAAAGTTTCTTAGGGTTTTACCATCAAACTATCTTGCAGAAATTGTGGTCTCTCCGCCAGGACTAACCCACATCACTTTTACCGCGGAGACTGTATTACAAAAGCTGACTCCACTAAGTAAACAAAGCTCGTCGGATGTCGACAGCACACGTCCAGAGGCACTGGGAGCAGCATCAAAACAACTGGCCGGATATTAGCTCAGATTTACCAGCGCCGCTTCTGACAGTATCAAGTTCCCGCTCTGTGGAAGCTTGGAATAATAACCTCAATTCAAAAAGGTGGAAGCAAAACTGAGCAGTCTAACTCCCGCGTAGTGCGCCTTCATTCTCTACTCTCCAAGATCATGAAATCCGCAGCTGCCGATGTACAGCTGTAGTAGCCCAAAATGGTAACACCAACAAGCCTGAGTAGCACGGCTTCCGTCGACAGCGGTCATGCACTACGAATTTACTACTTGCAAGAAGTAGCTGGACCGAGTGAGCTGACGCTGGAGAAGGCTCTGATGTGGTCTACCTGGATTTTTTGGAGGTTTTCGATCGTCCAGACAACCGGATACTACTCTATAAGCTCCAGCGGTACGGCATAAGCGAGCTTCTTTTAATCTGGATTGCCAACTATTTACTTCAAGAGCAATTAGTGGTCAGAGTTCGAGACTCTTTTCGGACCACATACAAGTAAAGTATGGTGCGCCCCAAGGCTCAGTATTAGGTCCCCGCTTGTTTTTGGTGTTTATTATTGATGTTGCATAAGGAATCACTACAAACTTCCAAATATTTACTGACGATATCAAAATTTGGCGCAGCATCCAAGTAAACGCCGACCAGCATCTACTTCAAGGTGATCTAGATGCGGTATTTCAATGGTCAAACCTAAAAGTTACCGCATGTAAACTGCAGTAAATGCAAGGTATTTTCCATCGGACATCAGAGCAGATACTCATGCCGGCTTAAAGCGAATGTACTGCAACAATCAACTTGTCTTAGGAGTCCTGGTTCAAGATGACTTGGTTTGCTCCAGGCAATCTGAATAGGCCTCGAAGACTGGAAACCAACACGATGGGCTGTTGTGAGGGGCGTTTGGACAAATAAACAGCTCTATATTTCGACAAATGCCCAGAGCGTATGTTTGCCCCTTGTCGAATACGCAATTCAAGCCTGGCTTCCGTGGTTGAAACACGACGTTAATGCACTGGAGCAGCGACAAGGTCTTACATCTAAGAACCTAATTGGAATGCGCAATCTTTCATACCAGTTGAGGCCGCAACGATTGGGGGATTCAGCGGAAGCTATTGCATACTTGATTCTGCAAGACCCAGCTCATGTGTGCTGTTCCTTACTGCAATTCAACACCAAAGTACCACCTGAAGTGTCGCAGAAACTTCTTTTCCATTCGTTTTTGTCACTAGTGGAATGGTCTCCCAGAATCGGTCGTCTTTGCACTGACGATAACGGTATTTAAAGAACAGTGGGATGACGCACACATCCACTAACATTTTGTCACTTAAAACTACGTTTCCATCTTACACCTGCAGTTTATCATAGATTTATTTGATGTTAACTTTGAGTGCTGTGAAACCAAGCGGTTTGCAGGACTAGAGTGGAGCAAACGCTATGAGCTTATTTCCATATTTAAATTACTAACATTTTACCATTATTCTTAGTAGCATTACTTAGATATAACTACCAACTCTCAAACAGGACTTGTAAATCAACGCTATTTAATCCGTACAAATTCATAGTTAATATTTTCATTGTACAAAACTAGATAGTCTTTAGCTTAGTGATTACAGTGAAATACATCGAGATATTTAACAAGTTATTTAGTTGAAATGCCAAACCAGAAGGAGGCAGCTAGGATACCCTTGTTTCGTTTACTCAGGAGCACTAGTTGTGCTATCAATAAACTTCCAATCAGCCAGATATTCTTAAAACCCCTCCGGGATAAACGGGAATAATTGTTATTGCTCTTGCACCATGAAGTATGATATATGTGGTTCACCAGAAACAATGTTCTCAGGATAGCGGTTATTTTGCGATTGATACCACTGAATGATTCCAAAGCAATTTGGCAAATTCCAAAAGGTTGTGAACGGAAAGACACACGAATCCAGGCTAATAATTAAAAGTGCACCTCAATATAAAATTACAAGGCTAATGATTCTAAACGCCAGGCCATGGTGTTTACTAAGCCAACAAGATGACATAACTTCCGAGTCCACGCCGACAATACATATAACCATAAATCACAAACAACTTACTCTTTGCGATTTTTAAATCATTCCTTACTTTCGCGAACGAGTTACAGGTAAATTTAACATGCCATATTGAAGCAATGCACAGTATTTTGTTAAATCCCCCTATTCATCAATCTCCTATGAATTGTTGGTTGTGTAACATTTTAGTGGTAGATTTTTTTGTTTACCCTGTGCATCTCCGGTCGAAAACGTTATTGACATGATGGAATAAGAGCAGCATGACGAATAACTTCAACTTACCCAGGCGATCTGTGGAGTGGAAGAACGTAAGATGACCATCATTTAGTGGGTACACTTAGCGGTACTTTGGGAAGCAACGAAGGAGACAGTGTTAATACTTGGGATGAATATAACCATAATACATACAATGCACAGTGTGAAGCAATTAACAAACAACATTGCAGTACTCAAACTCTCATGCGCTGGTTAAGGGGATTCAGTGTAATAGGCTACCACGGCATAACGTAATCTACCAAATGCATAGATTACCAGTACCATGTCTAGTTTGCACTGGTTAACCTGAACTCCAGTTACTCAATGATCTGCTCATCGGTTTTTTATTATTAATATCCAATGTCAAGCTAAATTTGCACTAAGCTAATCACTCAGGCCGGATAACTGTGTTGCTTACTGTAATCATTTGCAGCCGACGCTAAGAATTTTAATATAGTTCCCATAGACAACTGTACCTTAATGAAGGATAAAGTCTGCATTCGAAAAGAATAATTGCTCAGCTTGCATCGATGGGGAAAACACTTAATCCAGAGATTTGCTCAAGCTAATAACAAGTGAACACAGATTCCATAGAATAATATCTCTGATCTAACTACGCAGTTTCATCTGCATTGAGCTCATTAACTGACAATAAACCGAAGCTCATAGGTTGTTTCCCAATTGCCCTCTTCTTTCTTCTGAGTGAAGGTAACTTTTGAGATTCAAACACACCGTTTGGTGTGGCCTAGTAATACCAACCTACAAAACTTCTTGAGCTGCCTCTCGCGCTTATTTGAGGAGCCAATCGTGGTATAAGGACCAGATGAAAGATAACATACAAAAAGCGTATTGTCTTGCAATAGAAATATATTAGGCAAGTTGAATTTTCCCATCAGTACAGCTTATTCACGGAAATATCGGCGTCGAATGAACGACATTACGGAGTTTTGTTGATGAGTTTGACTGACTGCGTTCGGTTTAACGGTGATGAGCAGGATACTGTGATTTATTTTAAATGTAGTCGAACAGGTTACTACGTTGTCCCTTGCAAATTTTAAATGCATTGTTTACTTGTCTTGTACATGACTCAAGGACAGCTTTCAGGAATTTTAACACACGCCATCTTTCCTTGAGTAAACAAAAAGGAAATCGAAAGAATATGGCGGAACACTACGCAACACACAAGTCCTTCCTATGTTAGGAAATTGTGAGCAGTTCGAAATATTGGCATAAAATACGAGCTACAGTTTTCATACAGAACGTCAACCTGAATTTGGTGTAGGCTCAATAAGGTTTCCTACGTCAAAATTGTTTGTTAGCTGGTGCTATTTTGCAGGCGAAAGTTAACTGGTCTACTAGAATGCCTGCCAATAAAGATTTATTTTATTTGGCGCCTCTAGAATCAATGTTATTAGGGACAGCTGAAGTTTAATACAAGGAGTTACCTCTTTTCAAATGAAGTTGCTAATAACCTCTACATATTTTTTAACATAGCTTCGAAGGTCTTCAAAACCTATAAATGCATTTTTGACGATGAAGATAGGCATTACTGAAAGCAAAGCAATAGCCAAATCTTTTTATGCAAATCTCACACACATCTTCAGGCTGCTGTGCAAATAGTTAAGTAGTTACCAAGGAACTTGTATTTTGCTACAATTAAGACCAAACATAAGCTGGTGTTAATGGTACAGTAAGCTCACTTTAACTTGCGCCGCTAAGCGGGCATTATTTTCCTGAGTCGGGGAAGAAGGTTACGGATCTAAAAGTTTATCTATGGAATTATCTAATCAATGGAAACTGGTGTATACTTTAACAAATGCCATTCTTTCCTCCAGGTCAGCATCATGTCAATATATATCGTTGAGTTCTACCAAATTCTAACTACTTACTGTGGTGTTTCAATGCGTACGCCAAGTACGGCGTGTTTGCTAATAGTCTAGGTAAGCAATGGTATTCTAAGTTTTCCTTAGTGTTTCGTTCAATTATTGGTGTTCAGGGGTTTCATCTGCATTTTCCTGTATGGTGAAAGATTATAAATATCTAGTCAATAAATGTTATTTAGCCTGCACAGATGGATTTATTTTCAACAAAAATACAAGATAGTTTCTCCCAAACAGATGTAGAATGGTTTTGCGCTGAAATACCTGTTTAATTTCTTCAATAAACAAAGTAACAACCCAAGCAATCACAATGTACTCCACCACAGATATTCGAATTTTGAAGTCCACCAACAATAGGTAGCTGAACAGAACCAAGAAGGTCATGTAGGAAATCTGGAATCGGTAAATAGAAAAAAATGTGGATAAACAATGGTTCAGCATTACTGTGATATTCATTAACTACTAACGGAACAGTTAGTTGGGAGTTATTACGATAACTAAGCAAATATAAGCAACGTTTACTGATCTAGTATAATTGCAATAAAGGCGTTAAAGGATAGAATTGCATCAGATACAGCTTTTATGAACCAACTTTAATTTCGCTTACGAAAAGTGCTTAATAGCTCGGTCGTTTTATGCAATGCAAGTCCAGCTCTCTCAGTCCCTCATATAGTAGTCAGGTGTTTCTTATCGTCGCAAACCAGTGCAGACACAACCTTGGTGACGGAAATCATTTGACTCAAATCGTCGCTCTCAAAAATCTTTGCAAGTTTGTATACGTTAAATCGTATCACCACAACGCGGAAGATTGAGCCGGAATCTTTGGACACATTATTCGTAGTCAGGCCGCTGAGAGTAATAAAATCATTAATGATTTTAGAGGATAATCACTGTAAATTTAATAAAGACGGCACATCAATTGTTCTAACTCCGGAGGATTGACCTACAACATTCATAATGGTGAGAAAATACCCGGGTAACTTTATTGTCAAGTGGTTTACATGCTGCCTTTGCCTCCGCCATAAAAGTAATTTTCCAGCTTATCACTTTTATCCCGCATCAGATAAAAACAGCGATATTAAATGAATGACATCGCACGACTATTGTTCAATTACTAAATTGTCCTATGTAAATCGCATGGTGCCGTTTTCCTCCGAATCCAACAGCTCCTCTTTGTGCACCTAATTCATTCCATGTCCATAATATTTCCGCACCAAAGTGGGGTCGGATGTACAACTATCAATGTTTAAGCTATATTTCTAATCCTTCATCAGAGTTCGTTTGGTGGACAGTAAAAACACGAAGCACCGCGCAATCTGCTGCGTTTTAATTATTTGGACGATGAACACACCCCATTGTTCTTCTGCTTAACACGATCTTGGAGCGAATTCATATGTATGTCGGGAATGTTTCGGAAACTGTATTCAAAAATAATCAAGGATAATAAAAAGCTGAGAGTTGATGATTAAATACAGATACCGTGTATTTGATATGGGGCTTTCTTGGCGACTACAATGAGTGTTAGTCAACGATAAAGTGTTGCTTACATGTGGCGGACTTAGGACAAACCTCTTTTTAAGTTGGCTAGCTGCAACGTTTGTACAAACGTACCGGAGCATCTACGTGTAGGCGAAAAATGACTAATCGAGCAGGCATACTGTCAGAACCCTTCACATTATAAAGAGAGTAAAGTATTCGTAACTAAATGTATGCTTGTGGAAAAGTTCTGGAGGAGTATAGATAGAAGCTCGTAAATTAACCTTGGGCGTCTGATTGTACTGATCCATCAAATAACCATGAACAACTGCAATTATTTCAAGCACCCTATCCAAGCAGCAATAGATGAAGGCGGTACATCATCTCCTTTTGAAATTCCACTAGTGGAAAGCACGTGTAAACATAACCCATCAGTTTCGTTTTTCACATCATGTAGATTGATATGCATGACGTTTTCACAGACGTTACCATCGTCGTTGCGGCAGTACTCATAGATTAACGTAACTTTTCGAGCAAAAGGTGACTCAGCTGTACTGACGCCTGCTCTATTTGCGCTGCGACAAGAAGATTAGCGTCAGCGTCTGAATTTTACGACGTATCATAGCCTATTCCTTGTCATTTTAACAACTTCATCTTGGTGAAATTGCTATTTCAAAAACATAAGTTCAACGTCTATTTATTTAGTTATTATGTTGTTTGTACTTGTTTATCTGAATTACTTTAATCTCAAACAGTTGTGGCCTAGCGCATCACCCACAATCGCCACTACCAGTTATTTGATATTAAATAATTAGTCAAATTCCCTTATCTTTTTTTCGTGCACATGATGTTGGCGAAATTTGCACCTATCAAACGGGACCATTTCGTGTTCTCATGTTTTACACCAGGCAACCGATAGTAACCTCTCACCTAGGCACAAAATGTTTAAACCGATGTCCTTGTTCAAATTTCCTGCATAAAATCCTTGATACTGCAATATCATGTACCGTAAATACGAATAGATCTGTGGATTCAGAAAAGTATATCATGCTTCAACGTTCTAAAAGATTTTCGCAAAGTTATTCATAGAGAAGCCGATTAGCCTGTAATCAATTTTTTACTGCGCCACAGTTCCACGTTATAAAATGAATGTAAGCCGCTACCTTGCTGCTCACTCAAGCGTCATTAGGTTTAAAATATCATGGTACCCAGTGCCGGGGATTATCATCGATTCAAAAGTACAGGCATCCCTCTAGCAAATTTCTGTGTATCTTGTCTCTGTTTTCACTTGGATCCTTCGTTTATATGATACCAGCAACATTGTGTATCCTGGAATTCAGTTCGGAATCTACCAAGTAGTTTCGCGTCGTTAATGGCTTCCCATTGGAACACCTTATTTGCTCATTTTAAAAACACTCTGGAAAGCAAAGCAGCATGGTACACTTTGCCTTTGAATTTTCTGTTCACCATCTTCTTCACTGGGTCTGTACAGACTAGTAGTAGTCTGTCCCATAACGCGTTACCTATTAGCACTCCATCTGCTGAGACAGTGTTCAACTTTCCATTCTCCACCTGAAAAAGCCCGGAATAAAGACGAACAAGACAACATAACCCAACAATTTGCAACTCACTGTATTGTATACAAAGCGTATCACTGGGGCCATGTAAAAATCTCGAATTTGGCCAAAATACTTCATGGTCCTGTCATAGAAAGTTATAGGTTTCCTGCCCAGAAGAAAATAAATTAAGATAGATTTTGAGTGCAGGCTTTTAAGCAAAGATATTTCTCTAGCTACTCTGTTTGTGTATGCTTTCATGGGCATGAATTAAAATAGGTATGACATAGGATCGAGTGTTCAAGTGCACAAATTTGTAAACCAGCTTAAAATACACTCCGTGATTGCCTCCCCTGGTAGCTTTATTCTAATTAACCGAAACAAAACAGTCATTTTAGCTGCACCAGCTGACTAAGATATACGCCGTACCACAATGCAATTTGACACGGTTGTCTTAGTTAGACGGCCAAATATTAGGCTGGAGGAGTTGGACTCAGATATGCCAGGCTGTATTTTATTTATTATAGATATTGGGTTCGATGGACAAAATTGTTCGAACACATACGTACAAGAAAACAAAAAGCGCGTATAAAATTCAGCATTTGCGGTACAGCTTGAAAAAATACTGATTTGTAATGGATGGCCAAATTTCCAATCCTGAATGATATAAGTCAGTGTGGCCGTTACGTTTTAACACGAAATTTCATTGGGTGGGGAAATGAAGAGGTAGATGTTACGGCGTAACCCTTGCCCGATTCTCACCTGGGTTTTGTCTTTAAAGCTGTCATTTCGGTATGACCGTTGTTACTGAATAGCCATTAGATGCTTTTGTGTAGAAGTCAGTAGCTAAATAAGTTTTTGATGTATTCACGAAAGACAAATAACTCACAAGCCCGCGTGTGCATCATAGTATTTTGCGCGTTTTGTCCCAATTAATTTTCTCTTAACTTTGCAATGATTTTTAGCCCAATTTATTGGTTTAGATTTGTTCAGTTCCAGGTGAGACTTTTTGTAAATAGGTCCTGGATACTAATGTTTCGCAATGATTTCGTCGTTCGCTAAATCAGCTCCGTCCTGAACTTTGAGTGGAACGTGTAATTTACCGAGGGCAGGACGACCAAAACCTGGAGATGGCGAAACGTTACACATTTATGTGAAATCGTGCAATTTTCTCACCCCTACCCCCTAGCGGCGCGAGATTGGTATGCGCAATGTGCAAATGTGCCTAGCTATGAACGTTAATTCCCCCTTGAGGGTTGGTTAAACGCGACCCAGTTGAATAAGACAAGATTAGAATGTGGGCAATCCAGTCATTTCAAAGAACGATGCTCTCATGTTGTACGAGGTGAAGTGGGGATGAGTGGTTTAGTTTGAGTGGAAACCATTCTTGACCCAACGATGAAACAACAGTGGCGTTTTGATGTGAAATGCTGTTAATGAAATACCCATATATTTAGTAGAAGTTGCTTATAAGTTCTGAAAAATCCTATTATACGTAAGCGAAATGCATGGGAAAATGCTTCCACAATAATAACAGGCCATGCGTCTTAAATAGAACAGAGTATAGAAAGCGATTTAAAAATACGGATAACTGAGCTTTCTTGTGGTATCACATTCGAGGTAAAATTTGTCGTCCTACTTCGCTTGCTAAATAAGCACAAAATTGAGTATTATTGGTTGCATAAATGATTTCAGTAGTTGACAGCCTCTTGTAACTGTATTAGTTGAGGTTTGAGACATAGCGAGAGAAATCTATTTGGTTTTAAATAGTTGAAGGAATTTTTACCACAATCATCAGCACCGGTATCAATGCTGATGGATTCACGTAGTTTCTTACGTGCTATGAGTTAACGTTGGGGCGTCCTGATGTAGAGCATTTCAAACGAAACCGATTGAATTGTAATGTAAGCAAGGCATCATACTCAGGAGCGGTAGTATTCCTCTTTTATCAATGAACGGACTAATAGACGCATAACAGATTCCAGAAGTTGTTTGATAAGGAATGGAACTCAATATTTTTTAATATGGATAAGTGCTGTTTACAAGTTAAGCTAATGAATGTTTTGGGATGCCGAGAAAATGAAATTTGTTAACGGCCAAATGCTACTCTGATTCGTGCATCTGAGAACGGTTTTTGATCTAATGTATTTCGCAAGCAAGGATGATGACTTTCCATAAGCTGCACTAACGTTGATAGTTGCAAATACTGGTTATCTTGGTACAATCAACAAAACAGCGGTCTATAAAGTTCTAATTATATTACGTAGTTTTTCCCGTTTGATCGTACAGCGCTAACCGTGGTCAAGCTGTACAATTTAATACATGTACACAATTTTCCAACTTGTCAGTTTACTGTTCTTTTTCCGACTTGGCTGTGGTAAATACAAACGTAGCTGACCTATTCCACACGAACTGTTGAAGCTTAATGGCATAACTTTTACGATGCATCGACCAGTGGGCGACATGTGACGGTGTTGATCAATTACAATTTATCCTGGCTTTTTCGCTGTTTCATCGCCCGAGACCACTTGCTGTTTTCGGATAACTAGATCCATCTTCCTGCTAATGTGGTGCAGTGAAGAGAAATAATGCATCTAGTCTGATCTACAGCGCCTTGCGATGGTCAAAAGTCCATTAGTTCAGGTTAATATTGATGCAAAAGTGTGGGTCCAGAAAAATTAAAGCAACGTTTAATAAGACACAAGCCTTCGGTTGTAGCCGAAATCCGCCGGGAAACTTCTGCTCTTAGGTAGAAATGTCATGGCAAAGAAAAATCCGGGACAATGATTAAGCGTGAGAGCATAGGTTAGGCATATAAAGAGGTCACCGTTAATTTCTTGGATATATCTCCTACAAGAAAATAAATAACCGGGATAGCAGAGTGGATCAAAGGCGTTTTCATCGCTGGGTAACTGCGTTGTAAGTGACATCTTCCTACTGGGTAAACACACAGGCCTAATACATGCTGGTCATTTTAGCTATTGTTGGTGTGTAGGTTCACTTGTGTGCTGTTCAGGTATATTTAATATTGATCGTACTCACTAAATCGTCGAGATTTGGCAGCTTGCCCTCTCCATCAACCGAGTACTTAGCAGTATTTCGCATTATCCATCAGCTTGTTTGCATCCAACTTATGATAATAATATCGTTATTATGGCACAAATTTTTAATTTATTTTGAGTTTGGGGTTAGGTTTCCTTCACCCGACCGAGATTCTTCTACTCATAGCTTATCACCCATCTCCCAGCTTACCGAATTCAAGTTAAACGAAATAAAACGAACTGAAAGTTACTAAATTTTGTCGGCATGAAAACACTGAACTTTTCCCTTCATGCATTGCCGACGCGGATATCGTCATGGTCAATTTGTTGCCACTTCCCAAAAATGTTTGTTACCCCACCGAGTTGATCACTGACACAGTTCATCCTGTCGCGACCCACATGTGTAAACAAGTATTAAAGTGGATTTCAGTTGTCGCCATTCGCTAGCGCACTGTCTCCGAATGTCTAAACGTACCGTAATAAGGCCTTAAACACGACCACGCTTGTTGCCGAATAGGACCTTTAAATGTCTAGGTCGGTCCGGATGAGTCAGTCGCTTAATTCTCATAAATCAAACCGTAGGTAAGAAACAATTGTCAAAACAGAAGCAGCAGTCGAACTCGAAGTAATGTTGGTGAACAGCGGCACTATGTTGATCGCCTGCTGTTTATTCCACCCACATCAGAAATGACGGCGCTTGCAAGGTGCGACATCAGTATGGGTAAACAATGCATCATACAAGTTAGCTCACTGTTAGAAACGACAAAAAACCAATTTGCCTAAGATCCAAACAGTTTATCCTAGCTTCACCCAACTTATTCATCGGTCTGAAGGGCGTACAATGTCAGCTGAAACTAGTTTTCTATTATTCTTAGTGGATGAAGGATGCTCGCTTTCCAGGCCAGATTAGCGCTTATGCTTTGTTTCAACTGGCCTCAGCAAAATTCTTAGCAAGCGTGAAGTTGGTAGAGGTAGGTGAATTTGGCCATCGGGTTTGCGTCAAATAGTAAATGTAAATTTTGCCGGGTCAACTTTTGTTAACAAAACAACTAACAGACGTTCAAGTGGAAGTATAAACTAGGGTGTAAAGATTTCAGATTAAGAGAATTCTCCCAAAATCTTGCCCTCCACCGGCGAATTCATCCTACATATCTTGCGAGGTTTTGCATCACAACGCTAACACATAACAGTTAATCTAAAAAGCAAACCACGGAAATGTTGCGTCCTATTTTAAGCTTGTGAAAAGTTATAGAATTGATATGCGGTCATTCAGTAGTTCATCTCAGAATTATGAAACTTTGTTAACCTTCAGTGCCTTTCAATCAAACGAAAGGTGATGTAATTTGGTGCTAACTGCTTCCTGTTCAGCCAATTACCGGAAAGTATGGTTTTCTACAATCTCCATCTAACTAAGTTTCTTATGTATTCGTCCTATATGTGTGTCGTTGACAATGAAACCGGATGTCGATATATTTGCACTTAAAATAGTGAATGTTGCATCCGCCAGTCAAAAAGCGAGCTGCTTCATTTTAGTTTTGGTAGGAGTTTCATACACTTAGTTTTAACGCAGAAGGAAAGCGATGAGCATAACTTCAAAAACACAATATTTGCATCTTTTGGCACTGGTTGCTTGATCGGCCATCGAAACTATTATTTGGTATTCGCTTTATTGAATGCACATTGTGCATTTCCTTAGAATGTGATAAAATATCACTGCACTAATTTGCATGGCGTAAGATCAAGTAACCTAAATTCTTTATCTACTCTGGCTAGAGAAGCCATACATTATATCTACATACCGGAATCTAGAAAGCTATGATTTGCCTAACTTATTCAACCCAATGATTTTTTGTCCTTTTATTGCTCATAGCTTAACATATCCAAAGAACGACATTTAGATTGCAAAATATTACAATATGCTATTGTAAGCATGTTATGACGTCTTTTGCGACATGGACAACCTAAATGTAATCGGAAGAATAGTAAGATATAGGAACTACCTATTCAACATTTTGCAAGATACCTGAAACCGATCGGAAATTCATGATTTCCGAAAGTTTTGAAAATAACCGTTTGGTATAGTTTGTGGGCAACGTTTCGCTTTCGAAACAAAAGCTTCCTCAGGCCG